TTCAAATAGATTAACGTGACCTTTCATTTTTTGTTTGAGAAGTTTAAGAAACATTACCTACCACATCTCTTTCCAGGATTTTCTTGCATCTCAAATTTGTTTTCACCATCATTAGGTAAATATGCCAGAGTTTTTATTAATTTATGATTTTTTTTTGTGTTACTCTCTGTTTTTTGCTTGTAGTGTTTTGTGTTAAAAGAATTTTTTTGTGTTACTTAGATTTACCAGTGCTGCGAACTGAAAATGATATTAAGTTAGACCACGATAGTACAAGGTTTTCACAAAAAGAGACTTTGTATCTCTGTCAGTCAACAGTTATTCGATGGATTACTCATTTTACTCAATTAGTGAAAAAGACCACTGTTACTTTTCAACAGGCTGCAATAAGCGAGTCGTAAGTTATTTTTATTGTATGTTACAAAATTTATTTGAATTGAAAAGCTAACTTACATAATTTTAAGATTATTTGTTTACTTTTAATTATGAATTTTAGCTTTGTAATACTTTTTCATTTTAATTAGAAATGCATTTTAGTTTGATTGTAATATTTTTTGTAATTAGATTTTCGTTTGTTTATATAACCATACATTAAAATATTTTTTAATTTATTAATGAAAAATAGGTGCTCAATATAGAACATGTTTAGTTTAATTACTATTATATGAAGAAATACCTTTATTTTTAAAGGAAAATTTTAATTCTTTTTTTAAATTCAATGTAAAATTTAATAGATATTATTATTTAATTAATAATTTTTAATCATAATTTTTTTTGTGTCAATCTGATGATGAAAAAAGTTATTATGATGTTAACTTTATTTAAGTAGAAAAGTATATTGCATAAGTATGGATTATAATATAAATAACAATAGAATTCAAAATTAGCTACTGTTAATGTTATGGCCTAGCTTATGAGAAGTGTAAAATTTATTAACTTGGAGATTGTTAAAATTGAGATGTCATGATGTCTTGTTTTTCTCATTTAGGAAAGAACAGAATGAAACAAACCGTCCATCTGCAACTGCAGAATCTGAAGGGAATCATCATTCTTCATCTCACAACAACAACAACCTCCTCACAACATCTTCATTTGGGATGGAAAGGGACCCCAGTAGTACATCTCTAGGAAACGATGACCTTTCCCTCCACGATTATGCGATAGTTCGCAGTACTCTTTATTCTAGTCGTGAGAACATCAACATGGTGAACGAGATATTTCGCAGGGTGAGGTCTTAACCTAGTATTGAATGCAGAAATATAAAAAACTATCTCTGCGTGATTAAATCTTTTATACTTTAAAGAAATACTAGCATCTTAACAGTAATGACTATTTAACAACAATATATTACTAATGCATCAATGTATTGCCTAGTCCTAATAAGTATACATGCTGTTATTTTTAAAAGTGGAGTAAGTCAATTCGGAAAGTGGTACAAGTCTGAAGCTTTTAAGAGTTAATGTTTGAATGAATTTAAAAATGTTGGCAAAGATTAATTAATATGAGTAATTGAGACATTATAATAAGAGAAAACATAAAATGCTACAATGATTATTAAAATTGTTAAAAAAAATTAATGCCTTTTTAGCTCTAAAAGAACTTTTTCACTTTCAGAAATAATGGCTTATGTCTTTGTTCATAATAAAAAATTATGTGTCCCAAAGAACCATAACAACTGGAGCCTGGATTTTGATTTACTAAAAATCTCTAGAAGTGCCTTTAAAAATATCAACAACAAAAAATGCCTTTAAGAACATTTTAAAATAAAAAATAAATTAGCAAATTTTTTTTTTTATTTCTATTGGTAATCAATAATTTTGTTCATAAATTTAATATAACAATCATTAATGTAGTTTTGTGCAGTGTGGATTTGTCAGGCATAACATGACCAGTGCGTTTTCCTATAAATAGGCATAATTAGAATCATTCAGGTGTTTGTAAAGGAACATTTGCAGACTTAAAAATTTTATATTATTCTTGTAAAATTGTGACATCCTTAATATTGCTGATGAATTGCAAACATAAACATGCTTGCTTTCTTGTTTCAGCAAGTTGAACAAATCTTGTCTTTTTCTACTTTCTAATTTACCTCAGTAAATTGCTCTTCAACTCCATCTTTTTTTGTTTTCAAAATAAAGTTATTTTAAACTTAGTTACTTTTTCTAAATTGGAAGTCATATTTATATGGAAACAGTAAAGCATTATATAATGTAACTCAGTTAGAATGTGTGAAAGTTGTAAAAATTAGCTAGTATTTCTAAAAATTTCCTAAAATCTCTAAAAATGTTCAAAAATTAAAAGAAAAATGCTCCCAAAAATCAAAAAATATATCCAAAAAATAGGCAAATGTTATCAAATTCCAGTTCTTAATCATAACCTTTTGTACATCCTGTGTACAATTTTTTGTGTACTTGGTGCACGTAAGTAGTATCACAGAATTTTCTTCTTGAAACGTCCGAGCAAAGCATCAGAATTGTGATTATGATGGCCTAAAATGTTATGTATCAATAAAAGAACGGGAAAAAATTTATGGTTCCACAGTAAAATTAAGCATTTATAGCAAAACCTTATTTGTATCATAATATAGTAGACTTGTGTATGTAATTCTAAAATAACTACTGGATTTATGGTCTTTCTGTTGTTCTTTTTCCATGGCAGCCTAGAATTGAGAACAATTTATTGTAACAAATTTCTGTTTATAATAGGGAAAATTTAAATTGACCCAATAATATAACTTCAAATCTGATTGTTGTTTCTTCGATCTAAAAAAATAACTTTCTTTTCAGATGGTCCATCTTTCAAATAGATTAACGTGACCATTTTTGTCCAATAAACAACCAATTTTCACAAAAGAAAGGAGAGAAAAAAAGTTTAATTGCACATTTAAGTTTAGAAAATCTTCAAAGGAAATCTTCTTGACCATGTCATGTCTTTGAAACCATTGCAAATAGACAATAAAAGTTTAAGTGCAAAAAGATTTACAACCCATTGTTTTTTGTTTGTTTGTTTTTCCTCTTTTAATTGTAATGTGAAGGTTTGACTGTAGCCTGTGAATGTATTGAAATTCTAAGTATTTTTTTATGTAGAAAGCTCTTTAGATTATTGAAAACAAAATAAAAAAAAATTTTTGCTTTTTTAATTTAAATGATAGTTAAAAGATTTGTTAGCTTTAAGCATTCAAATATTTGAATCTAGCTTTTTGCATTTTTTGGAAAAAACAATTATTTTTAAATTTTTATTTAAAGAGGAAGATTTAGACTAATAATTTTAAAAAATTGAGTTTAAAAAAATAAAAAAAACTTTTAAGAAAGATAAGTTGTAGGGTTAAAAAATTGTTTTTCTGAAAATAATAAACTTTTATTTCTGCATTTTGCTATGATTCTATCTAATTAATGTCGGCAATTCTTCCATTAAATATTATTAATTTGTATTGATGTATGTTTTAAGTTTCTTAAAATTTTATAAAATTAACCTTTTTTTTAGGCATTTTTAATGCACTTCAAGTTTTCCTCCACTATGAGAAAGGTAGTTGCTGTTTATAGAGAATGGATTCATAAAAATGTAAGTACAGCACATTTGTTTTAAAAACATATAACATATATAAACAACATCATCTAAATGGAAAGCATTTAATAATTTTAAATTTTCCTTTACAATTTCTTTTCACTTATTCATACTTTTTTTAAAGAAATATATCAAGTTTTCTTCTATTGCAAAAAGATTAAAGGGCTGCCATTGGCAACTTAAGTGACTATTTTGAAAAAAAAAGTTACTAATCTATGGTTACTAATTTCACCAAAATATAGGCAAAAATGACTAGGTTCAGTTGGGGTAAAGTGGGTATAAAATCAAGCTTTTTTTAAAGAAGGCTCTAAAACCAACCCATTAAATATACTTTTTGGTATACTTGAAATGTAAATGAGAGCCTTTAATATAAACCTTTTACTCTAAAGTTTTTCAAATTCAAACTTGTAAAAGTGTTATCAGTAATCAAAACACAGCATTTCTTCTTCTCAGCTTAAAAAAATGTCTTAAAACTTATAAAATCGAGCAATTATTAACTTCAACCTATAGACCGGAAAATAACGGAAAAATTGAACTATTAGGGAAAATTATTGTAACACATTTGATTTATAAAATTAATGATACATCTGAGTGTGAAGTAAAATTATATTTCTGAAGAATATAATTTTATTTCACACTCTGTAACTAAATTTCCACCATCTTATTTTATGTTTGTTAATGTCCCATTTATACTTCCTTTATCAAGAGAAATTTATCCATCTGTGCAAAAGCTAGAAAAATAAGTGTTAACAGAACAATAATTCTGAAAATTTTAAGTACCCTAATACTAGAAAACTTAACCCAAATATTAATTATTAGATCAATAAAAATAATATTCATATTAAAGAAACAACTAAAATAATTCATGTATCAAGTATGAAATGGTAGTACCCACCATATAAATTAAAATTATCTCATGAATAATAATGAATGTTATCATTTAAATATTAATGTTGTTTAATAACATTAATACTAGAATTAAAAAACTAAAAAAAATTCTGAGTATGACCTATCATAACATGGTTAATCCCCTTTGGTTGTCTTCTTTTTCTGAAAGATCCCACCTTTCAGTTTCTGACAAGTTAAGTGTTTGCCCTTATCTGACACTGATATGTAGTATAAAATACATTTTTTCTTTCTCTGTGGTCAACACCATAAACATATAACATGTTTATAATATGTCTGGTCTTTGAAACTAGAATCTTCCAGCACACAATTGTTGAGATTCAAGACTGTTTTTTTCTTTTTGTTGATAACAGCATTACAGATTTTGTTGATTAAAGACCTTTGTGCCATTTTTTTTTTTAATTAAGTAAATGATACTTAAGTTCTGAACTTTAGAATAAACAATGCAGAAAAATGTAGAGTTTATAATTATTTAGCACCTAAATTCATTATTGGTATTTGTTTCTGAAAAAAACTGCAAGTGTTCATTATTATTTTTTCAGAGCAATGAAAAACCAATTTTTTTAGAAGAACCTGTTTTAACACTTGAATCAAAAGAAGACAAAGTGGATGGTCCTTTTTTATCAAAAGTTAGTTTATATTTTCTTTCAATTGTTTGCAACTACCATATCTCCTTGCAATTTATTTAAAGATTAATTAATATTTAGTTATTAGTAATTTCATTAGTTTTTTTTTTATGGTATGTATAAGTTTAACGTGTCTTGTTATTTTGCTCAAACAACTTATCTTATATTTGCTGCATTAAATTTTTTTTGCATAAATTATTGAATTAAAAATTTCTAGTTAATATTGATATACAGTAGGGAACCGATTATCCGGAACGATCGGGACCATCGATATTCCGGATAACTGATTTTTCCGGTTTTCTGAATCGCTACAAAAAGCCGTTTTTTTTCATAGTTAAACCCAACTAAAAAAAAAAAAAAATTGGAAATAATCTTAAAAATAAGAAAAAACGATGAAGTAATACACTAATGATTATTTCCAAAATGATGGTAAGGTAAACCACGTTAAAAAAAGAAAGAAAAATCGTAAAATCTTACGATGAAAAAAAAATTTTTTATNTTTTCTGTATTCTTACGCCTCATCAAATTTATTTATTACTCAAAGCAAATCGTTTAATCTTTCCTTATATGGAAGTGAAAGATCTTAAAATAACTTCTCTTTTGAAGTATAAATCTAATTATTATTCATTGGCATGTTTTTAGCCTTGAAGTCCCAAAATAGAATTTCTACCCTTATCCTTTACTAAAGATATTTTATGAAAAGGAATGAAGTTTTAATGCTTTTATTAATACAAAAGTATTTAATTTTTGTATTACATATATATATATATATATATATGTTTAAAAAGCAGAACCAATGACTTCTATTTTTTCTTGACTAGGAAGCAGGAGGGGAAGAGTATCCATCAGAGCTTTCAGGCATGCGCCTGAGAAAAGATTCCTACATAAAAGCAATACACAGTGATAACAATCATTTGAGAGCTGGTCTCCAAAATATGCTCATAGTCTTCCTGACAAATGCAGCAAATGTATTTTTATTAGATTTATCTCACGATAGCTTGCATTTCTTGGAAGAACAGGTAACTATTTTTTATTTCTATTGAAATATTCAATTTTGAAGTTTATTTTGAAATCCTGCGGTTAATTTCTGTTTAGCTTTTAATAGTAATTTTGTGCTATTTCTCACCAACAATGTCATGGGCCTTGGGAAGATTGCTTACCACCTATACAATCTTGCAAAATACCTTTGTCGGAAGGGGAAAAACATAATATATTGGCCTTGCTTTAATTTTTTTATAACCGTCTGTAAGCGGCCAACCTAATTTTGGGCTTACAAATACTAATATTCAACTCTGTAGCCTTGTAATTTTTAGCCCAATCCAGAAGGCAAAGCAAGTCCTGGATCAAGTATTGGGAGAAATTTTCCTTCGTGTAGGAGTTTTTGATCGACTTAACCCACATTTGAGTTACATGGAGATTAAAAACACATAAACCTCCCATGATTATCCTGACGCTAGGCCACTCTAACTCATGATCTGTCTAGCACTGAGGATATTTTACATCGGTACTGTGTTCAGTGCTAGCCGTACGTGGAATTCGTATCGACCTGTCATTCCTGATATTCGAACCCAGTTCACCTCATTGGAAGGGGAATGCTCTATCCCCTGAGCTGCCATTTCAATGAATCCCATCACATGTTGGTATAGATGGTAAAGAGAAAGCCGACTCTTTAGCAAAGGTTGGTGCACAGGAAGAACAGCTAACTGTTCCACTCTCTACAAGTTCTTTAAAGTAGCACATTTGCTCTAAAATTAATACAGCACACAGAACAGATCCAAGAGAGTTGGAAAGACTATAGTCATATATATCTCGTATGGAATCCATTGCTAATTTCAGACTTAAAGCAGGTCATGATTGTTTAGCAGAACATCTGAACGGCATTGGTTTCCTTCCAGTAAATAAATGTCAAATCTGCAGAGCAGGTAAAATGAACCCTGAACACTTACTATCATGCCTAGAACTCTATAAAGATCTCAAAGAAATGGCTATATTCTCATGTTATATTGGAATGCTGGAAGCATAATAAGTTCTCCGTAAGACTTTTGGGACCTGCATTTGGGTGACACTTTTTATTGAAGTTCATTTTAATTTTGTTATCATTATTCATATTCACTGTTACTGTTTATTTTTCACGATTTTTAATTGTTGTGTATTGTTATTGATCACGTATTGATACAGGGTGCGTTCTGAAAGTAATGCGTATGATTTTATTGTGATGCTACTATCAATTTCAGCGCACTCAGATTGGTCTAAAAATGTGGTGGGGGATTTGTCCTTCCAAATACGCCTGGTCTCAGGTCGCTCCGAGTAGTAGGAGCGGTAGGACGTGTCTTTGCGCAAAGTCTTTTTTTCGATTGAGTCACAGCGTGATCGAGTGTTCGCTGGAAAGCTATAAAGTTTTGTTTGGGAAGAATTCGACAGAAACTCATCACGTGCTTCATGACGCCTTCAAGGTGAAATGCATTTCGAGATCTCAGTGTGGAAGGTGGCACAAGGCCTTCAAGGAGGGTCGGGAGAAGGTCACCGACGCCCAACAGCAGCCCGAACAGATGAAAACGTTCAGCGTAAAGTTTTGAAGTCAGGCCGTCGGTTAAGCATTCAGGCAATCACCAACACCCTGAACTTGTTAAAATGTGTGATACATGGGATTGTGACGGAGGATTTGCAAATGAGAAAGATTTGTGCAAAGCTTATGCAGAAGGTGTTGACGGAGGAGCAAAAACTACCTGACCCAAAGTGAGACCCCCTTGGTGCCCCAGCCTCCCTATTGCCCTGACTTGGCACCGTGTGACTTTTTTTTGTTCCTTCGACTGAAAAGAGAGCTGAAAGGAAGGCACTGGGAGTCGGTGGAGAACATCCAAGCTCATGTTACAAGGCTCCTGAGAGGCATTCCTGTTGAGGAGCTCCTGGGTGCCTTCCAGGCGTGGCAGAATCATCTTCGCAAGTGTATTGGTGCACAAGGGAACTATTTTGAAGAATTTTAACCATTTGTACCCATAGGATCAATAAATCTATTTTTCCCAGAAAATGCGCATGATATTCTCGCTTTTTGTACATGTTGTCTATATTAAGTGGATTGACTTCCAATAAAGCTGTATGTTAAAAAATCTATATATATTGTTATCTATTTAATAACGAATTAAATTGAATTAATATTTGATCTTTTAGGTGGATATGTGTAAACGTGTGTTAAATATATATCGATATATGGTTATGAATATTCAGATGGAAAGAAGAGTATGGTATGATTTTTCCCTGAAGATTTTCTATTTGAAGAATTTTTTAGTTTTTCTTTTTTAATGTTTAGTTTTTGTTATGTAGGCAACAGTTGTTGTTAGTTTTGCTTCAAATAACTTCATTAGTTCTTAAAGAAGTGCCTCCTGTTAGAAAGGAAGATGTACTGGGTGGTCGATTAGCTCCTGCTTTGTTTCAGGTAAATTAAGTATTATTTGAAAAACTTTGTAGTTTTAAATTTTTAGCGTTTGATTTATTTAAGCATTTTAATTATTTTTCTTTATGTATGAGCACTCTCATTTGAAGTTTTTTTAAAACACTTCTGCAGATTTCCAGGGTTTTTGACGAGAACAAGTTTTTCATAGGGTCAATAAATTGTTGTTAAACCCCTCAACTTAATTGTCTTGGGCTCTTAAGGAGCTTACAACTATTTGATAAATTATGTTTAGTAAGATATTAATTATTCACTATATTTGTTTCTTAAATTTTTTTTAAAAAATGAATATCAGTCATGTCACATTTTTTTCAGCTTAAATTTTATTTTTCAAATTTTGATTGTAATTAAAAATTCTGCTATTTAAATTAAAATCCCTATTTTCCTCGACTAACTGAGTGTTAAAGAGAAGGAAAAAAAGGATGTTTGTTGTTGGTATATTGCTCTTAAGTATACAGAATGTGTACCTAAATTATTGCCAGATTTTTGTTTTGGAAGACTCTCTACAAGCTAGAATAATTTGGTTGAATTGATGAGTGGTTAAATTTTAGAAATTTTTTCTCTCAGAAGAAAGTTATGATAATGTCCAACTTACAGAAAAATCCAAATTAGTTTTTTTTTTTTTAAATATTTTTTAAACAATTTTATATTAATTTAAAAATATATATATACTGACTTCACTTTTTTTAAAATCAATAACAGGCATAAAACGGAACATAATAATAAAAAAATATTTCTGACTCGCCTTGCCTGAATTGAGAATTTTCAGTGGATTTAAGTTGTTGTTGATTAACTGGATCTAAAACATTTGCTTGCATTTGTGTGTAAAATGAAATATGATTTGCAAATAGTATTGAATGCGCACAAAAAAATATCTGAATGACACACTTTTTCTTAATGTTGCAAATTAGCATGTTGAAATACTAAAATTACTCTTGTTACTTCTAACATGTATCAAATTTTAAAAAAATTGTTTTTTTCAGACTTTGATTGTAACTTGGATCAAAGCAAATCTAAATGTTGTCATATCAACAAGCCTTTGGGATAAGTTTCTCTCTGTCTTATCGTCTCTGACTCTTTGGGAAGAATTGATCAAAGAGTGGGCTGTAAGTTTCTTTTCTTTCTCTTTTTTATATTTTATTGTTAAAAAACTAGTTTTTCTGTATGACTTATAGTACCTGCTGTTAGTACATTTGTTCTGGGAGCATTTGATGGTATAAGGCATCTGATTTTATAAATTGCTATATAAAAGGTTTCTAAATTAAACTTTATAAAAGCATTAAATTTAGATTCATTGCTATGTTTTTATTTTATTATAGCTGCTTTATTTTCATTTGAATTTACTACAAGGTCTTAAAATATTAGCTTATTGCCGTTTGATGCACTGTTAGTAGCAATGTTTATGTGTCAGTTACTTAAAGCTAATATTAAGTTTAAAAAAAGCAAGTAGGTTAATTTTTATAAGGATCATTATTCAGTTTTTGTGTATGGTACATTTCATAGTCAAGTTATCATATAATTGTATTTTTTCACTAAGAAAAAATACTATACAAATAATTTTTTTTCTAATAATTTTACTGCACCCTTTTCGGTATGTGAACTAAAATGTGGAATTAAGAAATCAACTCCGAATTAAAATGCTGAACCAGATGGCATTTTGCTAAATTTCTGGTTCATCTCGGAATTAAATCCAAATGTACTTTACTAAGACTTATTAATCTCACTTGGACTTCAGTTATCCATAGTGTCAGGTTTCCATCCAAATGAAAAAAAAGTCTTGCTTTGGTATGAGCTTGAAAAGTATGAATATAAGTCAAGCACTATGGATTGTAGATTTACCCATAAGATGTGAAATTTATTTGTTGTGAAAAGTATAGTAAATGATGTTGAGCTTGAAATAAAAGTTTAGTTTAAACAATTTTAGAAAGCAATTTTATTCAGCATTTACAGTTCGAAATGTAAAAAATAAACTTATATTTCCCTTTATCATATTTTGAATGTAAGAAAGAAATTGTCTAGAAAATGAATAATGCCTTTTATTGCTTAAAATTCTTTTATAAATTTATTAAATTCCTATAAATAATTATTATTTTTAGTTTTTTCTCTATTAAAGTTTTAAGGCAAATGTTAAACACAAAAACAATGGCAAAAAACTGCTGTTAGTAGCAAAAATTTTGATTTTTAAGATATTTATTTTTGTGAATATAACCTTCATTATATCCTTTTGCAGAAAACAATGGAAACTTTGACCAGAGTTTTAGCCAAACAAGTGTATTCTCTAGATTTAAATGACTTGCCTCTGGATAGATTAAGTGAGCAAAAAATGAAGAAAAACAGAGGTATGCGGAAAACTGTTATCGGAAACCTGGATGAAAAATTCGAAAAATGCAAATCGCAAAGCACTTCTGTTGTAAGAGCTGGAAATATTTATGATGATGCATCTTTACAAGGAACTGGTAATATTAAGTTATACAATTTATAATCTATGGAATGTATAAACAAACAATTGTTTATTGTCTCATTATTATATGGATAAACAACTCTGTCTTCTGCTATGGTTATTGCCAATGCTCATCGTATTTGTATTTAACAAATTATTTTTAATGTATTTTTCACCACAAGCAAAGACTTTTTTAAACCACACCTCATGGTGATAATTTGTGTATTAAGCAATAATCCTTGAGGAGCTAAAAGACAATAAGAAAAAAATTAGACTAGCACAATTAATTAAATCTTAAAATTATAATCAATTAAAAAAATAGCTCACTACAAAGTTATGCTGAAATTAACATTCACATATCTGATTTCTATCGGAAAACTCAAAATATCATCATCAATGAAATGGTACTTGTGGTCTTTAATAAATTAAAAAATAACGCAAAATTGTCTGTAATAACATAGTGGTTGGAAGTTTTTGGACTTTATAGATTAGATTTATTAACTTAAACATAAATAGCACACTTATCACATGCACATCTTTTAAATAATTTGTGTCCTTCATTTATCTAAATAGCCATTTCAGTGGTATAAAATGAAAAGATTTGTAAAACCGAATTCAAAAAGACAGCAAAAACTATAACTCCTGAACAAACTTGATTTTTCTATTAGCTGATGTAAATAATATTGTTTGACCTGAAATGTTCTGTACATCCAATGATTTGCCCAGAACATTAGATTTTCTATGACATATTTGTTCTGATATATACTATCAGAAGTGTCTAATTAGTGAGCAGCAAGTCCTACAATTTCCTACCAATTTGGCAGGGTGACACAAAACAGAGTGTAAGGTTGTAAATAGTAACTTCTCGGACAATGGGCAATGCACGAAGCAGCCTGGAGGCAATCCACATGCTTCATCTAATTCATTTAGATAAAATAAATTTTACCATTATAAACTGATTTATTTAATGGCTTGACCAAAAAAAAAAATACTGCAGTACAAAATCCTACATCTGGATGTCTATTTTCCAGTGATGTTTATTTTGTGTGCAATTTTTTAACAATCATTTTTCAAAAAGAAAACACTATTTTTTATAATGTTCATAAATCCATATCCATATGTAAAAAAATTTTTTTTATAATTTTCTGGCACAAAGAAAGCATTGTCCATTAGCCCTGTTGAAAACTGCAAGCTGTACATCTTTATTTGATAATAATCCTTTCCAGTAATAATCCGTGCTGTGTTTTGGGGATAAGACTTGCGTCTAATCCCCAAAAGTGCTGCAGGCAGTAATCTTATGCAGGTTGGATAAAGATGTGTATTATTACATACCTCTCGTTAAGATTTTAAATGTTAACAATTTTCTTTTGCAGTGAGGACTGATGCTGCCCCTGTCATGAGGGCACGGTCTGGCAGTGGGAGTGGTGAACATATGCATAAACATCATTCTGGAAATATGCGGAGGAGCAACAGTGATACGAATCTATTAAGGAAAAGTATGTTTCAATTTCCATGCTTTTCTTTTAAATTGGATAGTAATATATCGTCTGTTGTAACTTATTTAATGGAAAAAGTTCTATACTGAGATTTGAATTTGTTAGAATTCTAACCTTTTTGTTTCTTTAAGCAATATAGAATAAAAATTATAGTTAAAGTTTTAATAACTTACTATTTTAAGAATATTTTTGTTTAGAAAAAATAATAAATTTGATTATTTATAATTACCTTAGTCCTGAAATAAAAGTTGATTTTTATTTACAAAGTACATTGTCATAGAAATATGGCAAGTAATATGGTATAGAAATATGGTTAAACAAACTGGTCATAGGTTAGATATTTTAAAATTATGCTCGAAATTTTTTTAAGTATTTTTAACATTATTATAATAATAAAGCACTAAAAAAGTTATTGGTATGGTTTAGCTTTATAAAAAATGGATTCATAGTCGTAAAATTACAGTTGGGCAACTAATAAAAATAATGTTTTACCAGATTATATCTAACTTTTTTCTGTTATCTATTTTATTTTTTACGGGGGCTTATTTTAAAAACTCGTTTTAGATCATTCGCATCGTTTGAAGGATTTTTCTGCAATCGATGTTTCTAGTCAAAAGCAAGTTTTTGTTACAGGTTAGTTTATTATTTTTAATTTTAGTTTATTATTTGTCATTTGATCTACTATTCCCTGGTGGATGTTTAAATCAAGATGTAAGTACTAACAACTATTAAAATATCACGTATAAGAGCTTAATTCACTCTAATAGCAGAAAAATGCCAAATATCTTTCAAAAGAATATGAGCGAAGTTTAATGGAAAATATGTTTGTTTAAAAACAAAAATTTGTAAATCGATATAATCATAGAAATTGAGATACAGAAAGGTATTTAAAAAAATGCAATTTAACAAGCTTCAATGTGGACTTAAGTACTCTTGTACCATAGAGGAATGCCATGGCCCGGTGCATCATCCAATAAGTAGTTAAATAAAAACTTTATCAAACTTGCATTGTTGATTACTTCATCCGTGTTAGTAGTAAGTGGAAAAAACACAGAAAATTTTTTTTTTGTTTATTTACCTTATAGTTAATATATATTATTTGAAATTTAAATAAATGAAAAGAAATCCCAAAGGTGCCAAAACAAAAATCACCTTGTATCTTATATATATGTTACTTATCTAATGTTAGTAATCTTGAATCAATAAATTTTTATTAACTTTAAAATTACTTATTTTGCATGATTTTCCAGAAACACCTCTACTGTATGATCTTGTAAGAATTTTGTACTCAGTATATGTTTTGTTCATAAATATCTTTGTGTTCTTTGGTTTTCTAAGGTTATTTTTTTACAATTTCCTCAGGTGCTTCTCCAATGGCTGATGATGAATTCTCTAAAGGCATTCATTCTTTTGATGAAGCAAAGGATTTCAAAAAAATAAGTTATAAACACAAAAGTAAATCACTGGACTTTTTGGCACATCGAGGTATAAACTTTAATTATCTTGATATCCTTTTAAAACCTGTGATATTACCTTACCTGCCTGCTTATATGGTTTGGTCGTGCTATGTACAGCATTTTACCCAATTGTACGGTCGTAAAGTACAGCACGAAAAACATACAGTTTTTTGTGTATTTCTTTCTCAAATAAAATCTAAGTATTTTTCTTTCTATTGTAATGTAAACCAAATATTAGCTAAAAGTCTAACTAAATGGTACAGTACAGAACCCATTATCCGGAAACCAGAAAACCGGAAGAAAATTCAATAAATTTTCCCTCCATTTTTTTTAAAAAAAATTTTTTTCCTCATCAGATTTTAGGATTTTCCTTTCTTTTTTTAAAGATGTTTACCTTACCATCATTTTGGAAATAATCATTAGTGTATTACTTCATCGTTTTTTCTTCTTTTTAAGATTATTTCCAAATATTTTATTTTTTTTTTAGTTGGGTTTAACAATAAATAAATAAAAAACGGCTTTTTGTAGCGATTCAGAAAACCGGAAAAATCAGTTATCTTGAATAGCGAAGGTCCTGATCGTTCCGGATAATCGGATCCCTACCAGTACAGAACCCGTTATCCAGGAAACCGGGACGAAATTCAATACATTTTCCTCCCTTTTTTTTTTTTTTTTTAAATTTTTTTCCTCATAAGATTTTAGGATTTTTCATTCTTTTTTTAAAGATGTTTACCTTACCATTTTGAAAATAATCATTAGTGTATTACTTCATCGTTTTTTCTTCTTTTTAATATTATTTCCAAATATTTATTTTTCTTTAGTTGGTTTTAACAATTAAAAAAAAACTGCTTTTTGTAACGATTCAGAAATCCGGAAAAATCAGTTATCCGGAATATTGATGGTCCCGATCGTTCCAGATAATCGGTTCCCTACTGTATAATCTTAAATTTTATGGGCTGATGGCTAAACGAATGAATCAAATTTCAGTCTATACACTAGCTAAAGTTGGCCATATGCGTGAACTTTAGTAGTAAGTTCTACTTGTTACAATGTTTGAAGCTTAATGCTAAATTCTAGAGAGCAATATTTGCAATTGCGCTTACTGCATGGCAACTAAATAAAATAAAGTGGCCACCAAAAAAATTACCATCATTCACTACTCACTTTCCACCATCTCTTGTTGTCATTTGATACCCCATCCTCACCATTCCTTGGTTTCTGGAAATATGTCTACGTAATGCACATAAAAATGATTATTTTTACTAATTCCAGTTCATTTTTTAATTAAATGTTTTACAGGCTGCATGGTAATGGATTTCTTATTAGGATTCTTTAAATAAACTAAACATAAGCACAATAAAATTCAATCCTAACTTTTTTTTTCAATCTCTTTAAATTATAAGATTTTATTTCTTTATAATGATCTGATATGTTTTCTAGTGACTTTTTTTTGTTGCCCCTCTTTGATTGACAGTTTGTTTCAACATCTTTTCTGATGTGACAAACTTATTGAAGCCATAAATTAGAATTAATTATTGGTGAAAAGAAACTCTCTAAAGAGTAGGCTGATGTTTGATTTTGTTCCCTTGCTGAAAGATGGATTGGAAATAAAAGGCTGGTGTAATGTTACGTCTTCTGGCGCCCCTTGACCAAATCACAATGGAGCGGGAAGGGGAAAGACAAAAATAGTATTGCAAAAAAAAAAAAAAAAAACTACGGCAATGATTGAATGATGAGATTCATTTGAGAAAATCGAAAAAGAAAATAACATTAAAAAACAATGAAAAAGTATAGAAATAAAAACAGCAGTTGCAGAAATTCTCATCTTAATATTTTATGTTTAATTAAGAGGCTTAATATTTCAGAATTATTATATTTCATTCTGATACAGAAGTTTAAAATTGATTATGAAAAAGGCTTGTTTAAAATCGAATCTATCATATATTCTTTTTCTTTTTTTTAATAATTACTTTTTCTTGAAAGATATTTTACAATAATAACAGATATAATATTTTTTTATAATAATATCTTATAATATTAATAATATTTCTTTAAACTAAGAAAAATATTTTTTATAACAATTTTAAGCAAAGCAAAAACATTATTAAGGTACTTTTAATGCAAAAGTGGCCACCAGATAAATTTCCTAGTCTTGCTCTCTTTACTAAGTTCTTTAAAATATTTCTTTTAAATATTACTTGGCTTTTATTTGTAGTATTGTATTTGTAATGATCAACTTAAAAAAATGAGATTTCTGCCGTTTTAAAAGCTGTGAGTCCACATATTTTTATAGACAGTCTTTGCCCTTTGATACCCTTTGCTAAGAAAGAGACTGATCGTCTACCAATTTCCAATTTCAGTTAGTGATGTTTGAATTGATGTTGTTGTTTTTTTTAATTATTTAGTGAAAAATCTGAATTAGAATTAGTACACAGTGGCTTTCTTTAAAATGATTAAAGAGGGTCTTGGCTCAGTAGGATACCCTTTCCAGTTTTTAAGAATTAAATAAATCAGATAATATATTTTTTGTGTGCTTATAGTAACCTGAAAAATACTTTTAAAACTGATAAATGTTTTATTTTTCGAAGGTTTTATCAATTAAATTTGAAAGTGAATTTGATTTATTTTATCAATTAAATTTGAAATTCCTTTTTTTTAAATGTCTAAAAAGGTTATAAATGATTTACTTTTATAACGCTTCATTGAGTATCAAAGCGTAGGTTCAGAATTGTAAAACTAAGCAGATTACAATGTCTGTACTGCTTTTAAACTTTTTGAAAGCTGTCAGTTTGTGCAAGCTGTTGGCGATTTCAATTACCCTTTTTCTTTGCATAGATTTATTCAAAAGTATTTTTTTTTATTTTGAATCTAGCTGAATCACCTTGTTTCTCAGAATCATCTGAGTGCCATAGTCGATCTCCTTCTCCAACGCCATCTAGTGGCTTGGAAAATACTAGCATTAAGGATTCTCCTATGCAGATTGACACTGTTGCTTCAAGTGCTGACAACTCTTGCAATAATTCTGGTATGTATTAATTAATTTATTTAGTCAGATTTTGTAAGTTTAAAGTTACACCACGTTAATTTGAATTTAGTAACGCTTAATTGAATGAGACGCTGTGATTACTTTTCTATAAATTTAATGACAATAAGTGTGCCTTTGCTAGAAATTAAATTGAAAAGGGTATATTCGAAATCTTTATAGTCTTCACTTCTTAAGTAAGAAGTAACTCAATTTAATCAGCGATGACTCAGGGGATTGATCGTCCAGTGAGGCGAACCAGGTTTGAATCCCAGTCGATACAAATTCCGCATCCGGCTTGCACCAACCACAGTGCTGACATGAAATATCCTCAGTGGTAGACGAATCATGGGTTAGAGTCCCCTTACCACCAGGCTAACCGTGGAGGGTTCTTGTGGTGTTCCTCTCCATGTAACGCAAATTTCTCCCAATGCTCGATCCAGGAGTTCCCTTGTCTTCTGAATTGGGTTTAAATTACAAGGCTAGGGATTTGAACATTAGTAGTCGTAAACCCATAAAATTGGGTGGGCTATTCAACGATAGTTATAATATAATAAGATACAGTGATTACCTTTCAATAATCTTAATGTCTCAAAGATCTTTATAGGTTCAATTAAAAAAATTTTTTAATTTCTTTCATTATTTGTGCAGTTTTCTCATTTCAAAATGTACTAAAGATATCTTTTGCCATCTCAAAAGCTAAAAATAAATTTTATGAAATTAGTAGAAAATATTCAGAATATATTAGTAAATACTTTTTTCACTGTTGAAAATAAGCTTCTTTTTTTTTAACGTTTTATTAAACTTAAATCAACTTTCTTAGAAAATATCAAATACAAAACATGTAATTTTGCCTTGTGTACTTGTAATTTAATGGCATTCAAATTTTAATCATACCTCTTCATGTTATTCAATGATGCTATTGTGCATGGCAAGAAAATAATGTAAATTTGCACTAAGTAATACAATAGTTAATTAGTTAAATTGGCTTGTTTTATTATGTTTTCAATTAATAGAGTAGTTAATTGCCATCTCTCAAATGAACACTATTTTAATAATTCCGATTTTTTGTTTCTTTATTTTATCATTTTAGTTATATTATTGTTTTAGTTACATTTTCTCACCTTTTGTTTTGCACTTATTTTATTCCATCAGACAACTTTGGAACCCGGAAAATTTCATTGGATCATTTTGGCATCTTGATTTCTAGAAGAGGTTAAGCAGATTTCATTAAAAAAACTTTTTCCCCTTTGTTGCACATTTCAACTATGCCGCAAATCCCCACTTTCAAAAACACTTGCTTTTTTTTGTTCATTTTTGTCATAAATGTGAGTGATTTGTTTGCTTGGTCTAGAATTGTGTTGTAAAATGTGCTGCCAGATGATTTCTCTTGCTTTTTCATTACATATGCTCTTTTTTTAAATGTGCTCATTCTTTTGTTGTTAAAAAAACAGGTCTTTCTGAGAAGAAAAGGAAAGGTATGTTTATTTACCTGCTTTAGCAGAAATGTTAGAAATATTTATCAAAAATCTTTTATTACTATTTTTTAAGTGAAACTTGTTTTTAATTCAACAAAATATTGTTTATTGTTTTTCTAGATTAATGACTTTCAGTTCTGTAGTGTTATTGCAAATCATAATCTCTGTTTTTAAACATGTTTCATAAAATTTCAAAAGTCTTTTTTTTTTTTAAAAAAAAACAATTTAAAAACAATGCTTTAAAAACAATGAGATAAATATGAATAAATCTGTATTAAATTACTCCTTTCGGAAATTATTTTTCGTATGTTAAATACAGTGTAGCTTCCAAGAAAAACCTCCTTTAGCAATCTCCTTTATTTACAACCACTTTTGGGAGGCATAGAATTTTTTCCTTAGACTTTGTGTTGCAGAAAATCTTTAGGAGAGACCATCAAAACCTCTCCCAGCGACCGGGCAAACTTCCACACCAAATGCGGAAAATATCAAATAAAGAAACACAAAAAAATATTAACAACACAACTAAGTAGATTCAAATGTATTTAAAATATTTCTGAGTGGTTCTTATTTAAAGAGCTCTTTTCGATGATCTGTGAAAGAGTTTGACAACTTTATGCTACGGTCAACGCGCATAAAAATTTTACTTACAAGGGAAACTTCCCTTGGAATTACTTACAAGGGAAACTAGGGAAGTGTGACTCACCAATTTTAAAATAAACTAGTGGGATGTATGCCTTATGAGGAATAATTTTAAGGGGCAACATTCGTTTCGGCCCGTAGAAGGTCCTGTAAGAGATAAAAAATAATTCAATATATAGAAAAATCGATCTTTTATTACTTCAATGCAGGCTATTAGTTATTGTAATTGTCTCATACTCTAATTAATTGGATAATTAATTAATTTTCTAATTAATAAATCAATTAGCAAATTAATTATTAATTAAACATTAATTAATTATTAATTAATTGATTGATTTGCAATTACATACTCCAATTAATTTGGAAAATTTTTGAAAAAAAAAAGTAAAAAAATTTGATGTCAATTTTTTTTTTAAATTAACCTAACAGGTTTCTCTGAAAAACTACAGATATATGNAAAATATTTCTGAGTGGTTCTTATTTAAGGAGCTCTTTTTGATGATCTGTGAAAGAGTTTGACAACTTCATGCTTCGGTCAATGGGCATAAAAATTTTGCTATCACAATGACTTAGTTATAAAGTTAAATTAAGAAAAAAACTAAGCATCGAAAAGAAAAGAAAAAACTCATATTTTTTTAAGTAAACCAATTTTTATAATAAAAATTAAAAGCAAACTGAAACAGAGAACATTGTTTATCCATTTAAAATAGTTTTAAAAAAATAGTTTTAAAATTCATAATTCAAATAGTTCGAAATTCATAATAGATTAAAAATTCGTAATAGATTAAAAATTCATAATTTGTAGGAGTCATATTTATTAAGTTTAAATTTTACTCATCGATCCGGTTTTTACGACGCCAATGTAATGCATTTCCGCACCAAGAAAATGACACTGAATAAAATTTAAATTGTTCGCGATAACTCATGTCCGACGATAACATTTTAAAGTCAATGAAGGTAACCCGTTTGAATGACCAACCTCCATTTTTGAGAAATTAAAATGTCTTTGAAATTGTTACATGATTTAATATCAAATTTGCGCATAATATTATTGATATTATATACCTATATGGAATTGAGTAATACAGACTCCTTAAAATTGTGTTTATTTAAATATCGCAAATGCTAACTGGATAAATGTCTGTGTTATTGTACTTATTACTGATGGCTAGTTTGAAAAGATGGAAACTTTACTGCAAACAAACACTTCCCAAAACAGATTACAGATCTAAAAATATTTCCTTATTTGTTCATTGATTTAAATATGATCTAGAAGTGAAAAAATAGTTAAAAACTGTAAAGCCTGGTATATTGTATTAAATATTGATAATATTCAACATAAAGTTAAAAAATATGTATCCCCTGACTATATATATATCCATCAGTGATTTGTAACAAGCGTTCATCAAATTTACTACTTAAAAATGTAGCAGTGTGTATATTATTAATGTGACATAGAATTTTTTTTAATGTGTTTACCGTTTTATAATAATGAAATAATAAATCTTGACTTCAAAAGAATTGTCAACCAATGTGTTGCCATTTTTAAAAAAATAAAATAACACTACCAACCACAAAAATTACATCAAAAATGCATTGCTTATTAAATTTTCAAATAAATTAAATGAGAATTGAAAAAAAAATTAAAATCTTACAAATTGTCAATGTTTTCAGAGGGGAGTTGTGTTATTTATTTTTCTTAAAACTCAAAATATATTTTTAAAAAATATTGTAAAACTGTGTAGTTTGTTTCATTGCTTTTTAGCTGCTTAAAAATTTTACCTAAATGCATTCAATTTTTTTTCTTCTTTCTGCAGAAATAGGCACTTCTAGCCACATTGAGGCTCGCAGCATCATGTCTGGTGGTACAACCAACGGATGGCTGCCTGATGTGGCTGTTGTGCTGTGGAAGCGGATGTTGGGTGCGCTGGGTGATATAAATAAAATTAAAGATGCCTCTGTTCATGCTCAAGTTCTCAAGTACCTGGTTGATCTCTCAGAGCTTTTTGTAAAAGTGAGAATTTCTTTCAATACTTAAAAGAATTTAAAAATTTCTCTTGAGCTTACCTCGTCGACATAGCTATATTTTCTTCTGATTTTACAACATCTCCAGAAAGTGTTCACCAAACTGGAAAAACTCAAATTTACCATTGAAATATTTTACATTTTTTTTTCCATGATCTATTTTACATTCCTGGTAACGTTTGTAATTTTGATTTTAAATAGTTTTATTATATCAACTAAATTAATGGCAGTTTAAGTTTGTTCCTGTTCTTTGAATATATCAATCTATATGTAATATTTTTTAAGAATGTCTTAAATTTGCCAAAACATATTTTATTGTAAGACTACGGGACATGGCTATTGCTGAAAACTCTGATAAGAGGTTGGTGTTTCTACTATTGTATAATTGGTCTGTCAGTTAATAAAACTAATAAAAATAGTTATTATTGTTTAAAAATATTTCAAGACAATATGTAACTATCAAAATTTGAATTATGCGTATTAAAGCACTGTAAAAAAAATTTATACAATTTAAAATAAAATTTCCCCTTATTTATCAATATCTTTACTATCCTTCATAGATTAATTGTTAAGTTTGTCAAGATAGGTACCAAGTTCATTTCTTCAGATTATTCTAAAGCAAAAGTGTTTGTTTCTGCTGCTTTAAAATAAATGTGTCCTCAATGATGAAATGTTGTGTAAATATTTCCTATTAGTAGAATATTTTTTACGGCTATTTTTCTTGTTATTTTAAGAAGTATTACAGTTTAGTCAGACTTCTTACTGTAGTGACCCTTCCATTGTAATGACTGATACTCTAAGTCCCATTTACTATTCGATAAGTATAAATATAACAACAACTCCCTCTAAATGAAATAGACACTAGACCCATATCCTAAATGATCAAGGCATTACTTATAGTTAAAAAAATGGTTCAATATTATTTAAAAGACATCGCATTGTTATAAAAATATTAGCATGATATTTCTTCTGCATTCATTCAGTTTCAGTTCGGAATAACATTGCGTATTTTTGTTAATTTTCCTTTTCAATAAACTTATCAGTGATATTTTTCTTAAATTAATAAATAAAGTATCTAATAGTTTTGTCAAAATTAGTGCAGAAAATATTAATTAAAATATAAATATTTGCAATATTTTTATGTTTCTTGGAATAGTTCGTTATCATATTCTGACATCCACTTTTCTCTGGTGATATAGAATGTCGTCTGTATTTGGCAAAGATTTGTTTTGTGGATGATTAATAAGTGTTATATTTTAGCAATTTATATGCTGGGTTTTTTGTAAATATCTAGAGTGATATTGATCTTGTAGGTTTTGCATTTGTCTTATGCTTTGAGGGGAAAAAAGTGGGGATATGAAATTATTTTTGTTTTAAAAGTAGATAATGAATGTGTCATTTGTGTTCTATTTAGTAAAAATTATTTCGAACAGTTTTGCTCTTTTAACGAAAAATTGAGAGAAAATTGGTAACAACTGTTCATTAGTCATACTCATTAAGCTAATGTAAAACCCTTAACTTTCTCTGTGTGGAAATTCAGAAACTTTTTTTCTTAACTAATTGATTTAAGTTTTTTATTTTGTTTTCAGATTCGTGACAACTTAGGTGTTACTTTAGATAATTTATCAACTCCAGTCCCTCCTGATTATGTGCCACCTTTATTACTTGTTACTCCCTGGCTGTTTGAAGTGAGTGTCATTTTATTTTCATTTTTTTTTTCAAAAATAAGGTGAATTGTTTGCTTTAGGTATCTTTCATTGTTTATTTAATTCCAAAACAGGCTTTAAATCTACCTGAAAAGTACAAACAGGGAAAGTTGACAGCATTTAAACTTCTCTGCATATTGATGGTTAGAAGACATGACATACCTCTAGCAAATGAATATCTTGCTCACTTCTACTATTCATTGCACTATGGTCTCATGGCCAATGATCAAGTAAGTTATATTCATTGTTCTTCCATTGTTCACTATTTTAAGTTAACATTGTTGTGCATTAAAATATTTTATATTTCATGAACTTCAATAATCAGATTAACTGTGAAGCAAAAAATCAGAATTTTAAAAAAAATTCGAAAATAACTTTAAGAATTTCTTTTTATTAAAATCAAACATTGTAAAAGTTTGATTTAAAAATATATAGATGCTGAGTTGTTAAGTAAGAACAGAGGGGAAGTTTTTTTAAATTGATTTACTTTCTATTAAATTTTACTGGAAACATAATTTATGTATGGGCTTTGCTATGGTACTGTGGTTAAAGCATTGGATCGCTATTGTTAGTGATCAGGATTTTATATCTAGTGCTGGCTTGAAGCCCACCCAGCTTCATATCGATGGATGCCAGCTCGGTGGGAAGCAAAAGCAGCTGGTACAGAGTAGGACTGGGCGATGCATCATAAAATATTGATGTTATGTAATCATCGCTGATTGAATGTTTGGAACGGCAATTTGTTGAAGCAGGGGGAAATCACGATTTACCGTGATGTTGAAAATGTTTCCTGATACATCAATGGTCTTAAATCGTGCGAAGAACACCTTTCCCGATCATAACTGAACTGTGATAGTTATGCCGATGGTGGTTATCTTTCTCTGTGTTTCTTTTATCATGACTCATTGCTCTGTTGACACAATGAATCTCGATGTGATAGAGAACCAATCCTCTGGTGTTGATTTTTTATTTTTAGGTGGCGATTTTTTTATGTTTGGAAATATGAAGAATGCAGCTTTATTTTTTTAAATAAAATGCCATTTACTAAATATGAAGTTTTAATTTATTTTTATTCACTGATCCGTTTTACTTTCTAACACATTCTCCTTTTTCTTTAATAATAATTGATGGCAATTAGTTAAATTTAAAATAGGTAGGGGTTGACTCTGAAGTTGCATGCTTTTTGGCGTCAGGTTTTTAGTTTTTGCTTATAACGATTTTCATAAATGCTGGCTCAATGTGGATTTCAATTTTGATTTTATATTTATAATTACGTATTCAATAACATATGCTGCAGCTGTCTCATTTCTGTGGCATGCCCCCTCCTGTGCAAGTTTTTCCCTCTTTTTTCTAATTTTTATTTTCAATGTGTTAAGTCACTAATGAGATTTATGGATATTTTTTTTTAAAAAAATACAGTTTAATGTCAAATAATGTATTAATCAAAAAGTGCAAAAGTTCAAAATTACACTATACCAAATATGGCACATTGATGTTACGAAACATCGCAATATATCAAAATTTCGAAATGTTAGAGTGACGATACATTGCCATGCCAAAATCTTAAAATTGGCCAGTCCTATTACATAGTGCACAATTCTAATTGCATTGCTGTTGTGTCAATTGTGGAATCTTAACCTCCACGACACTGGAAAACTAGCTGCAATTGGAGTACTTTAATTTATGCACCTTGAAGTGTAAATTCATAAATTAATATTATTTTTTTTATCTTACTTGTAACAAGATGGTCTAAATTGAATACCTGTTTCCTTATAATTTCTGCTTCAAGTCAGTTGAAGAATATATGAATTTGAACTCCTAAATATAATTTGTATTTTACCAAAAATAACTAATTAAATTCATAACATTAATAGCATTTAAGCCCTAAAGTCTGAAAAACAAGAAACAGAAAAATCAACTGTTTATAAAAGTGTATTCTGATAGTAAATACAAATATACGATAATATGTAAGGTATTGAGTGTGAGTCATTTTTGAAATCTACTTTGCATCGATTAAAAAAAAGTTTGCAGATTTTTGTTTACTTATAAGTAGCCAGTGATAATAAAATTATACCTGAATTTGTTTTTTTAAAAATAAATTTTTTAATAAATTACTTTGGAGTGTTATTTATTTATTTTTGTTCTCAATGCTATAAATCAAGAAAAAAATAAGCTAAATCTTCTTAACCATTACAAAAACAAAAAAAGTCTTTTTTTTTTTAAAAAAAAAAAGGAAGACAAAATTCTTATTAACTGCTGATTCCAATTGTTGTGTAATTAAACAATTTATTTTCTGTTTGTAATTTACTTTCATCGAGAAATCTGTGTTTTGCAGGATATGATAAACACAATAGTCAAATACTGTGGACCAAATTTTTTCTCTATCGGGCTGCCAGGTAGCACACTTTTAGTAATGGACTTCATTTATGCAGCCGACACAGTTATATCTTCAAGTGACATTAAAGGAGTAAGTAAAGTCCTTTAAAAGTATTTTTCACTTGTGTGTGTGTGTCAATACTTCATACTTATTCATTGAAACAGGTTCCTAGGACGGAAGCAATATCAATATTAGGTGCTCTGCTTTCACTCACCAACGTGTACAAAGAAATACCCACTCTTCAACCCTCATCAACAGAACTATTCACAATAGCATGCAAAGATGCTAAAGTAAGCAAATTTTTAATAACAAAATTATATTATTTTGTAAATTATTTTAAAGTTAAAAAAAAAAAAAACTAGTATTTATTTTGCCTGATGTTTCTTCTCTTAGGATCACATCATTAGTATTTTATTCAAAGCCGGTAAACGAGAGCCAGCGGGTCTGGCACGGTGAGTGAAATCTTTTGCTTCATAACAGTTATTCTCTTTATAAAATCGTTTAGGTGTGTTTTCAATAGTTTGCTAAAAATTATTTGTTAGCAAAAATAATCTGTATTTACTCAAAGTGACCTTATTATTATTATTTCAGCAATCATTAAAGTTCTATTAAAAATCTGTTTTAAACTATTTATTTCTATCCTGAATCTTAACCCTGACAAATTATTTTCTTCTTAATTTTTTATATCATTTTACATAGATGTATGAATATACAGTGAAAAAGTCCCTTATCCAGAATCAACAGATCTTCAGCAAGTCTGGAAAATAGATTTTTCGGATAATAGGTCTTAAAATAACAAACATCTTAACATGGGTTATTCAATAAAAAAGTAACAAACTGACAATAATTACACTTCAATATAACAGTTGTTAAAGAAATAATTTGTTTATTATCAAAAGAAAGGTGAAGATATAAGAATAATAATTAAAGGAAATTATAAAAAATAATGAAAACGGAGTGTGATGTAGAGTGTACTAATGTTCAACTCCGTAGCCTTGCAATTTTAAACCCAATCCAGAAAGCAAGAGAACTCCTAGATCAAATATAGGGAGAAATTAGCCTTCATGGACGACTTTTTGATGGAACTAACCCTCATTTGCGTTACATGTGGAGAGGAAAACCTCCCACTGTTAGCTTGACAGCAAGGGGACTCTAACCCATGATACGTCTACCACTGAAGATATTTTACGTCGGCAATGTGGTCGGTGTAAGCCAGGTCCGGTACCGATCAGCCATCACCAGAATTCGAACTCAGTTCGCCTCATTGAAAGCAAATGCTCTATCCCCTGAGTTAAATGATTGTAGTTTTTAAAGGAACTTTCTGTTTTGTCCTAAAACAAGAATGATTGTGCATTCATCTTGTAGGTTCGTGAGCAAGAGACTGAACTTCCAATTTTAAAATATAGTTTTTAAAAAAAATTTTAACTTTTTTTTCTACCATAAACTAATTTTATCTTATAATTGTGTAAGATGTGTAAAACTTTTATTTGTGACCATTATATATTAACACTAAGCATACCATAACCAGCTAAAAGACTGTTTATTGTTTGTTGTATTGTATTGTAAAGTGTTGGTATGTTTGGTGTTTATAATGACTGCTTTTTTCTATCAGATGCATNTTCATCTTGTAGGTTCATTAGCAAGAGACTGAACTTCCAATTTTAAAATATAGTTTTTAAAAAAAAATTTAACTTTTTTTTCTACCATAAACTAATTTTATCTTATAATTGTGTAAGATGTGTAAAACTTTTATTTGTGACCATTATATATTAACACTAAGCATACCATAACCAGCTAAAAGACTGTTTATTGTTTGTTGTATTCTATTGTAAAGTGTTGGTATGTTTAGTGTTTATAATGACTGCTTTTTTCTATCAGATGCATTGCAATCAACAGTATTGGTATTTATTTATATGAAGAATTAACGAATAAAACCAGTCACTATCGCATTAAAGAAGCAGTTACAGTCTTACTTATTGCTGTTAGGGTGAGTCTTCAATCCAACATTTTTTTACATATTTTTGTGCCTCCTTCCCCTTGTATTTACTAACTTACACTAAGCAATTTTTAGATAGTTTTATTTTCCATAGATTTTACTTTATTTTCTTATTTCCATTTTATTTTCATCTTTGGTGATTGGGCTCTGCATGTCTTTCAATAACACATTTTTGCTTTGAAGTCTGCTTTATCCACTCAAAAACCCAGGGATGTAGAGGTATTTTGGTTTTATTGTTTATTTTATTATTGTTTGTGGTTGAATTATTTTTGTTAATATATTTTAAGATTTTTTAAAAAAAAATTTAACTGCCATGCTTGTTAAAAACTCATGATTTTTTTTAATTGTTATTTTAAACTTTTAATTTTTTTGTTTTGAATTGTGCATTAAAATTATCTTACTGAATAATTTAATAATTTGGCCTCTTACTTTTTACTTATTTATTGAGTTTATACTTTTCCCAATCATTATGTTCATTTAGCTCATAACACCACTTTTCCAGATTTATCGCACTTTTTTTAGATTTTTCTGAAAATACAAGTACAATAACTTAAAGGATTTCCACTTCTCAGAATTCCAGTAGAATGGATTAATCTTTTCGGGAAAAATTATTAGTATTTTCTTTGAATTGATTGCAATTTAAGCTATATAAAAATCCATATCAAATTAAAAATATTATTAATTAAAATATAATTCTGTGCAAAAAAAAAATTTTGCTAGAAAATATAACCAAAATAAAACTATTTAGAACCAGCCATATAATTTTTAAGGAAATCTCTGTCATTCCATCATCCTGCTTAAAAGTGCTTGTATTTTGATACGGTAGAGTGGCATGCACAATTAACAGATTAAAATAAATAAAAAATTTATTTATAATAAATCAAATTAAGTAAATTTTCAGTAATTACTTTAGCCAATGTTAAATTTATTATTATAAGTTTGTCTTTCAACAAACTTTTAATTGAATATAGAGAATTCAAGGGGGTTGACTTCTATAACTTGAAGTTTAAAATATCGGTTGACTTTTACGAGCAAAATACAATAATCAAACAATATTCCTGATTTGCCTGATTAAAAGCATGGATTGCCAAAACCCAATAACGTCATTGACCTAAAACTACTTATTCATCCTGCTGGTGACCTTCTGTAATTTTATACAAGATAATGTGTCCTGACTTGAAAGTGTGACGCACCTGATGTAGGGCAAAATTAATTTCTACTGGTCAATCGTGTAGCCTTTTTCAAAAATTGAATTTTTATTATCTATTAAAACTTACTTGAAAATCATAATAAATTTAAATTCTTACTTATGACAATTAAAGTGGCAGCTCTGCTGCTTCGAGAGCCAGTGTGGACTAATTGTAAACAAAGCTTTAGTTTAACTAGTAACTTGAATGGATTGGCGCATTTGAAGTCATCGACCTACATGAGGTTGCTAAAGATAATTAAAACAGTTAAAGATCCTATAAAAGTAAAGAGCCTAATATATTTTTCTTTACAGTTTAACTGTAAAGCTGTGGCTCGTGTTGCTTCAGACATGCTGCTTCTGCTGTGCGATCATGGGGAGGAACTGGAGAGAATGCATTCTGATCTATGCAGGACAGTAATTGAGGTAAGTGCCCACTTCCAGTTATGTAGTAGGAAGATTTATAGGTGCTTCCTTGTCGGTGCCTTTATCCGCACATAAAGTAAACACCTAACTATCCTCAGGTGAATTACTTGATTTACAATTTTTCTGAGGGCAAAATCTCTTGTTTGGAAGATTGAAAAGTACAATTTTTAAACACTATTTTAATGATGAAACCTACACTATGAATGAGGATATGCTCTACTATATTTGTTCCCATTAGATCACTATTTGTTTGGTCCTTTGAAGGAATACTTCTATGGGCATGCTTTGGATAAAAACAGCATATTCTAGACTTTCTTGTTTGAGTGAAAAATTGAGCAAGATTTCTTTCAAAAAAGACTTGGCTGATTTGGTAATTTCATTAGAATAATTATTTAAATCATAATAATTCTTTTTTCGAATGATACCGTGATAGGATTTGTCAAATGTCATAAAATACAATCTATTTATGTCTGTAAGTTTTTCTGTCACAATAGTTGGCCTAATATTTGCATTTTTGAAATATTTGTATTATGTACAGTGTGTCAATAAAAACCTGGATCACCTTGAATAACTTTTGATCTATTTATTGGATCTTCACATTCCAGAACTTAATCTCAAATATGCTTATTAATTGGTGTGGACGGTACTTTTAAGTTACAAAATCACTACTTTTTCTGAATAAATATGCCTTTTTTCCACGGATTCAGATTTCTAACCTCAAAAATAAAGGAGGTAGCCGCAATCTTAGAAATATGGTTCAAATAGTTAAATTTGAAGAGCAATGCATAGTTTGGACCCCTTAATGTTAATTTTACTTTTTCCGTATTCCACCATGTCTCAAACCTTTTATGTGAATTGAAAAATTTTTGCATTTTTTATAAAATTCGTTTATCCAAAGATAATTTCATGCAAAAAATACATTTTAGCAAGCATTTATTATTTTATTAAATTATAATCAAAACAATTTTGAATTTTAAGATATTCAATTTTTTACATCATTTTAAAGTATGTAATTTTACATGGCAAAATACAAAATTTGAGGAAAACCGGTTGAATATTTCCTGAGAAATTGAATTTTAAAGAAGTCTTATGTTTAAATTTCGATTTCTCAGGAACTATTCACCTGATTTCGCACAAATTTTGAATTTTGCCATGTAAAATTACATAAAAAATTGCATACCTTACTATTCAAATTTTTTCAGCTATTATTAAATAAAATAATAAATCTTTACTAACATTTATTTTTTGTATGGAAGTATCTTCGGATAAACGAATTTTATAATTGTGTGCAAGAAATTTTTCAATTCGCTTACAAGTTCTACGAAATATAAAAAAGTTAAACTAGCATTAAGGGGTTGAAATTATAGATTACTGTCTTAACCAAACTATGTGAACCATATTTCCCAGATTGAGGCTATCCCTATATTTCAGGGATTAGAAATCGGAATCCATTGGGAAAAAAGTAGGTTTATTCAGGGAAAGTACGTTTTAGTGTCTAATTTCGTAACTTAAAATACAGTGTGCACTAATTAATTAGCATATTTGAGGTCACCTTCTCAAATCGTTAAGAATAGGTCCTAGAATATGATAATCCCATCATTAAATCAAAAGTTATTCAGGGTGGTCTTTTCTTTTCTTTGGCGCTCTGTTTACTTTTCTTTTTTTTAGCGCACTGTACATTATTTATTTATTTTCTTTCTAGGTTCTTTCATCCACATTAGAAAATCTACTTCCTTCATCTGATGCTATTTTATTAGAAGATGATAAAAAAGTAATGTATTGACGTTTAATTAGTATGTTTGCCTAAAAGAAATAATAATTGTTAGGAATGTTCAAATATAAATGTTTTTTTTAGCTCATTTTGTCACTAATTCATTGTATTGGAGAATGGTGTTTCGTCACTAAAATTGGTTCACCCTCAATAAATGAGCAGGACTTTGTTCCACTTCTTGCTGTATTTAAGGTAAATTTTCTTTTTATTCACAATGTGTAATATCGATTTTTTTTGTTAAATATTTTTTAACAAGTTATTGGGCATTTTCTTTATCATAAAAATGTAATATCAATTTGATTTATATAAAAATATGACTAAGTAAATGAGGAGTTATTTTAGTTATGGTTATTATTTAAACTAAGTAAAAAAGATGTTTATTTTATTAAAAAGGAAAACAAGTTTTCAACGTTTCTAATTGTCTATATTATATAATGAGACTAATAAATAGGCATGTAGTCATGAAACCAATGGAATTTCTTTTCTCTTGGTGGTGGTACGGCTAAAAAATAAAGCTAGGCAAACGTTGGAAGGTAAAACTAAATTGTTCATATAAACAACAAAAATAAATTTTTGTTTTAAGTATGCTTGTTATTTTATGCCAGTTAATTATTTATTTAGATCTATATTTTAGTTTGTTTTATTGATGTTTAACAATTTACTCAAAAGGAGAAAAAAAACAATTTAATGATAAAGCGGAACTAATTCAATGAATATCCGCTTACTGCTTGTGCTGAATGATGTTACTGATTATTTAACCTAAATTTTTGTTTTAGCACTGGACCTTAAGCTTCATTTTTACCCACTTGGAAATTATGGTTGTATTTCTAACCTTTTTCTTTGGTTTTTAAACATTTTAAAAGCGAATAGAAAATTTAAAATTGTTGTGTAAACTGTAAAATTGAGAATAGGACTTTTAGGGAAATTCTTTAAACAATTTTTATTTCCTAAAAACATATTTTAATGTATATAATTTTCTAACTGGCGTTGAATAACCGAACCATTTTTGGGTTTACGACTACTAATGTTCAACTCCATAGCCTTGTAATTCTGAAACCAATCCCGAAGACAAGGGAACTCCTAGATCAAGTATTAGGAGATAGTTGCCTTCATGGAGGACATTTTGATGAAACTAACCTGCATTTGCGTTACATGGAGAGTAAAACCTCAAAAAAACCTCCCGTAGTTAGCCTGATGGCAAGAACTGAATGTATGTAATTTAAAAGTTTCATTGGAGGTATTTGTTTTCTATTAAAACCTAATTTTAAAAAAGAGTACAAATACATAATTATCCAATGTGCAAGCAAGGCCATCCAGAATTAGTTGCAAGAGAAGTTCTGGCTGTTGAGACGTGTTGTTAGTAAAGGATGCAAGCTCATAATAATTTAGGCAAATTCAAATATATGTTTGCTTGAACACAATAAAATTTATGTAATTATCTACCAGTTCAAAGAAGAAGATTAGTCTTATTGCTTGACTCAACACTCAAACCATTTTAATCGTAAACTATTGAGCAATTTTGAAAGGTTGCTTATGAAACTATTGTATTTATGTCAAAGTTAATCAAATACTTTTTATCATGATAGCCAAAAACTGAGTCATCATTTAAATAAACTCTCTTGTGTTCTTTTAAATTTTAAAACGTTGAAATAAGTATTTAATTAACTGTGGAAACTAAACTAACTAGTGAATTCAATTGTGTATTATGTTTGATAGGTTCTTAATGCTGCTGCAAATGGTAAGAAAGTGGATGCCCCCCAAAGTACCCAGTCCTTAACTGAACTCTCTACTCCAGATGTCGATCCTAATGTCCAAGTAGAAAATTTTCAAGAAGGCACTACCCCTACCCCATCAGTACCACCACGAACACTCCAAAGTCCAGAAAAGGCCAGGTCAGCCGACAGCTCTTTTTTTAAGACTATACAGAATCAAGACCATAACATAGCTATTAAATTGGCTGCCAAAAGTGTAAGAATTTAAAATTTATTTTGATTTCAACTTATTGTCCATTGACCATTTATTGTACTGTAAATAAGCTAATTTTTGTACCTCAGTTGCTTATATTTTTAAAGACCGCATACTAACCAAGATTTATTGTTTTCGTGCTATTTCCAATGTTTACCATGCCATTAAATTTCAGAATATCAGTATCCAGAACTTGCTTTGAAGTCGATATGATTTCTATTGATACAGGGAAAAATTCTAAATTAATAATTAAATAAACATAAAATCTAAATCTAATTAAATAAACGTAGAACTAAATGGGTATAATTTAAATGTGAAAGCTAATGAAAAATTATAATTTAAGAGTTTCATGCCCCTCTTATCTACTTTGTCTCAAGTTAATTTTTAAATTTAATAATTTAGATGCTCCCTCTTTCCATTATTTCGTTTAAAAAAACCATAATTATCAATGAAATGAGACTTTTACAAAAATAACACCCTAAAAAACATATTTATTTATAATGTTCAAAAAATATTTAGATTTGAATTTTTAAAAAAAAAAAAAATTAAAAATCGGTTGGTTTTAATCATTGATTTTTTTTTTATGTAGAATTACAGCTGATTTATATTAATGATTTTTTTTCTGGAAAATCTAGTGATTTGAGTCATCCCAAACCTGCATTGCAGTTAACAAAAATATTTGAACAAATCATTTTTTATTGATCATTAATCATTTTGATCTCTTTTTCAGCTCTTATGTCAACTCACCTGATTAATCATTAATCATTTTGGTTGTATAAATACCATAACTATCAATGAAATAAGACTTTTTAAAAAATAACACCCTAAAAAACATATTTATTTATAATATTGTTCAAAAAATATTTTAAATTTAAATTAATAATTTTTTTGAAAAATCAGTTGGTTTAAATCATTGATTTTTTTAAGAGTAGAATTACAGTTTTATTAATGATTTTTTTTCTAGAAAATCGATGAATTTGAATCATTCTAAACCTGCATTGCAGTAAACAGAAATATTTTAACAAATCATTTTTTATTGACATGTAATGAACTCTTTTTTAGCTCTTATGTCACCTAATTAATCATCTTGGTCACTTTCCCATGGGCATTGGAGCATCACGCCTTACTAGTCTTGTGCATGAGCATGATGATGTCCCTACATTGACTGGTGATGAGTTGTCTGCAGAAGTGTTTCATGCTCCGAACGTTCAATTTTTCATACTTAACAACTGCTCCATTGTTTCATTTGTAGAAATACCAGCTCTTGTAAGTTTTCTTTACATACTTTAAATCTTTTAAGTGGAACTTAATTACTATTGCTTTTTAATGCTTCTGAAATGTGCACTGTGTTTTTTATTATTATTATTGTTTTTTCTTCCTACTTTTGATTAAGTAGCGATTTTTAAGAAAACTTTCCTCCATTACATCCACTGCTAAAAACTGTCTCACATAATCACCAAATGAGTAGAGTTGAATCTTGTTTAGTTGATTTTGTGTTAATTTTTTTTACATTAAGCTTTTTTTTAAGTTTTTTTTAATAAAATTATAGAACCCTCACTAAAAATAATTAAGATTATTAGTGATAAACACCATTTCCTTCAGATATTGTGAAGAGTTAACCTTTTCTTTAAAATGTATGCTACATTTTCCTAGTCATTTTAAATTTTCTTTTTTAAATGCTTACGCAATCCTCACCTTACCCTTTTTTCAGATAATTTGGATTAATTTCAGAAGCATTTTAAAGAAAATGATTTCTGAAAAAAATCTGAAAGTATTTGTCCTAGTATTTGCTAAAACCTTTTCTAAACTTATTCTGAACATTTTCGCCAAATTTTCTGTTATAAATAAATTAGTAGATAATTAGAAATCTGTTAATTCAAATTAAAAAATGGGCCTTGTGGCAGAATTGTTTCGGGCTTTACCTCTCTAATACTAATATCTTTCTGCAAGATACTTTTGAAAATAACAAATATACATATTACTAATTTAAAGTAACAGAAGCATCAACTTCGAAAAAAGAAGAAAAAAAACCTTTTTTAATTGAATATGTAATATTTTTTTAATTCTAATATTATGTCGATATTCTTGCACTATGTAGGGGGAAAAGACACTTATTAGTTTTTTTTTTTCGTCTTTTGTAAATTATCGTAACATTTTAAAAAAAACTGTGAAATCTGTAGTAGTAACTATCGAAAAAAAGATATACTGCAAAATCTTGGACTCTTCAAAAAGAGGTTACTAAATGCGTATTTTCATTTTGAGATACAGTTGTTGTAATAAATAATACAGTATTAAAAATATTTGATTTTAAAAGCTATGTCTAAATCAATAGTAATAATTGCATAAAAAATAGAACGAACATTTCTGCAAAAAAGAGAACAAATTTTTAATTCATTACTCTATTTTTTATTATCCTCAAATGAGAACCGAAAAATCATAAGCATTTTTTTTTTCACTCCCATGCGCAAGAAAAGCATCTTCCGAATATAATACTGAAGAAAAGAGAAAATCTTTCGAAAATTTCTGCAGAAAAGAAAACCAAAGTTTTTTTCTTCTCAAGGGAAAAATCTTTCTGCAAAAACTCCGTAACATTCTGTGACAATGTCGCCGTGTCGCCACGATTCTGCCGCAGGAAAAATGGGAAAACTTAAAGAAATGTTTAGTGCAAAAGGTTATTTGTGCTTAATTTCTCTATCTTACTTTTGTTTAATTTTTTGTGCAAAAATTAAAATTAGTAGAAATTTGACAAAATAGTAAAAGCTTGATTTTTTTTAAAAAAATTCTCATTTTGAAAAAGTTTATTGCTAGTTTAGGCATCTCAAGATTTTATTTTAGAACAGTTTACCCTAGTTACTTGTAACGCTATAGATTCAAGAAATTGTAAACCTGTTCTTAAATATGCATTGTCTCTGAATCTGTAAAATAATATATAACTGAAAACTTTCACACAGATTCTTAAAAGTTCTTAGTTCCTAAAATGTTTTTAATGGTGTTCAAAAAATTAGTTTTCATGTTTAGTTCTAAAGTTTTCTTACTGACATTTAGGTTTTGAAATGTTCTAATTTAAGTCCTTAATTTTTTCTTGACTTTGAAGGTCTTAAAATGTCTTCATTTTTGGCAATATGCAAAAGAATTTTTTTGAATTTCTCTTTATTTAATGCTGTTCTTTGAAACCTCTTGAAATCTAGAGCAGCCTAAAGGTAAACCTGTTATATTCACCTTTAGGCTGTGTTAAATTATTGTACTGTAAATTGCATTTTTTTTTTTTTTTTTTTTTTTTTTTTTTTTTTTTTTTTTTTTTTTTTTTTTNAATTTTTTGACATGTATCAGTTTTTAATAGTTTTAACCAAGATATAACCGCCATGTCAAAAAAGCAAAAAATTGCATTTATGTATAAGTATGATTATTATTATTCATTTTTTATATGGGTCATTCATTACTGGTAGTGTCTTAATGTTAAATATTAAATGTTACTTTTCTTATACAATTTAGTGTATGTCGAAAAGAAATGTCTGGAGAAAACCTTTTTATAACATAAACTTAATGGGTACTACCTTCCAACAAAAAATCTGTTGAAAACTCTATACTTGCAAAGTTACACATTTCAATAATAGAAAAGAACTTTATACAATTTAATAATTATTCATGTCATTACACTAATATACAAAATGGAAATTTTATGTTTAAACAGATTATTGCAGATTGATCAGAATTCTTTATTTTATTAAAATTTATGTTTGTAATAGCTATTTTTTTCTGTCAATTATGTTATTCCTCCAAAATTATTATTTATATTTAATACATTTCTATTGTTTTAAAATTTACTTTAAAAAAAATGCTAAGTATAAAATATTTTCAATCCATTAACGTAAAAACTAAAATAATTACATAATACTTTTGATTTCATTAAATATATTTAAAAATTCATTAAAAAAGATAAGACCATTCTAATAAAATAAGACAGAAGAATATAAGAAATGTGAAATCGTTATTCTTCTGATCAAAATCATAATTTCTATTTTAATATAACTATTATTAAAAATTTATATATCAACATGCATTCATAAACTCAATTTTTTTTTATTTACTATTAAATAAAACTTCACACCCATTATGATTTCCTTTGTTTTTGACATTTACTATGTCAAAAACCCCAAAACTTATTACTAAAGTATTAATGTTTTTGCTTTCAAAAATTACTACCCGAAACATATTATTCTATACAAGGGAATGTGAATTATTTTACCATATTTAATTTGCGATCCTGTTTATCATATAAAGATCATATAAGTAAGTTCTTCTGCTAGTACATTAGAGTAGAAGATCAAAATGACTTATATTTCATTGACTTTACCTGCTGCTGATATGTGACAACCTCCACCATGCTAGTGTGAGATGCTACTTCTGCTTCAGAGGAAGTTTTATAGTCTGTTAATGAATAGATTGGGCATTTCCTACCTGAACTTGGAAAACTAGAGACTTTGTCAAAAGTACAGATTTCTTGGAAACTTGCCATATGTAGTTTAAATTTTTGTGTTGTTGTTGTTTCTAATACCACTTGCCACACGGGCAAGCCTGCTTGGTGAAACCGAGCAAATTTAAGGCAGAGTGTGTGTTACTTATTTTTCAGTGGCGCCATCTATGGCCAAGAATTCGACTTCTGCCACACCATGCGTCGCACCCGTTTATAGGGCGGACCCATTCATACATCCATTCATTCATCCACAGATCATAATTTTGACCTGAATCAGAGAACGATCGATCTCCAATCCAGTACCCCCAGAGGTTTGATTTGCTGTGGGAACATGGAGGACTTCTGCNCTTTTTTTTTTTTTTTTTTTGTAGGACATGCCAGGTGGGGGTGCAACTGCTGGTCTCACCACTTCGAAATCTCAAGTACGAATAATTGTGCGAGACTTGGGTGGAAAATTCTCATGGGATTCTTCAATTCTGTATGGTCCTCCAGATTCATATTTTTGTTACCCTGAAACTGGTAATATGCTCTTATTTTCTTTGTGTATTAAATGTGAAGTATACAAATAAGGCTAACAATTTTTTGACATGTATCAGTTTTTAATAGTTTTAACCAAGATATAACCGCCATGTCAAAAAAGCAAAAAATTGCATTTATGTATAAGTATGATTATTATTATTCATTTTTTATATGGGTCATTCATTACTGGTAGTGTCTTAATGTTAAATATTAAATGTTACTTTTCTTATACAATTTAGTGTATGTCGAAAAGAAATGTCTGGAGAAAACCTTTTTATAACATAAACTTAATGGGTACTACCTTCCAACAAAAAATCTGTTGAAAACTCTATACTTGTGAAGTTACACATTTCAATAATAGAAAAGAACTTTAAACAATCTAATAATTATTCATGTCATTACACAGTTAATATACAAAACAAGGTATTGTGAAAATTTTATGTTTAAACAGATTGTTGCAGATTGATCAGAATTCTTTATTTTATTAAAATTTACGTTTGTAATAGCTATTTTTGTCTGTCAATTATATTATTCCTCCAAAATTGTTATTTAGATTTAATACATTTCTATTGTTTTAAAATGTACTTTTAAAAAAATGCTAAGTATGAAATATTTTCAATCCATTAACATAAAAACTAAAATAATTACATAATACTTTTGATTTCATTAAACATATTTAAAAATTCATTAAAAAATATGAGAGCATTCTAATAAAATAAGACAAAAGAATATAAGAAAGGTGAAATAGTTTTCTTCTGATTAAAATCATAATTTTTATTTTAATATAACTATTATTAAAAATTTATATATCAGCATGCATTCATAAACTAATTTTTTTTTTTTTTTTTACTATTAAATAAAACTTCACACCCATTATGATTTCCTTAGTCTTTGAAATTTGCTATGCCAAAACCCATAAACTTATTATTAAAGTATTAAATGTTTTTGCTTTCAAAAATTACTACCCGAAACATATTATTCTATAATACAATGCGAATGAGAATTATTTTACCATATTTAATTTGCAATCCTGTTTATCATATAAGGATACGTTCTTCTGCTTGTACATTAGAGTAGAAGATCAAAATGACTTATATTTCATTGGCTATACCTGCAGCTGATATGTGACAACCTCTACCCTGCTAGTGTGAGATGCTTACTTCTGTCTCAGAGGAAGTTTTATAGTCTGTTAGTGAATAGATTGGACATGTCCTACATGAACTTGGAAAACTAGAGACTTTGTCAAAAGTACAGATTTCATGGAAACTTGCCATATGTAGTTTCAATTTTTGTGTTGTTGTTTCTAATGCCACTTGCCACGGGCAAGCCTGCTTGGTGAAACCGAGCAAATTTAAGGCAGAGTGTGCGCTACTTGTTTTTCAGTGGCGCCATCTATGTCCAAGAATTCGACTTCTGCCACACCCGATTATAGGGCGGACCCATTCATTCATCCACAGATCGTAATTTTGACCAGAGTCAAAGAACGATCGATCTCCAATCCAGTACCCCCAGAGGTATTGATTTGTTATGGGAACATGGAGGACTTCTGCAACTCGACAGATTTAACGTACATCAGTCACTTTATTACGCGGGGAGTCTTTGGCCGGCGGGGTTCGAACTCTCGGACATGGGCCCAACGCCCTACCGACCAGGCTATCTCGGCAATTTTTGTGTTAATAATTCATATGTAATGTCAGCTTTTTCATGTGTCACGAATTCCAAATTGTAGATAGACTTGCACTGTAATTAATAAACAGCTTTTATTAGTTATATGCTGTTAAATAATGTCTGCGCGCTACTCTGCTACACCCTGTGGAAAGTTCCTACAAAATAAATAGTTCAGAATATCTTGATTCGGGGTATTTATTTTTGACAGGTTACATGAGGAGCGCCACCAGGTTTATTTAATTTTGTTTCTGCTTTATTTCATAATTTTTAAAGATGATCGAGGGCTTCATGAAAATGTAATGTTTATTATAGATCCATTTGAAGCACCACAGAGCTTAACTGTACCTCAGGATTTGCAGTCATCCAGCCTTAATGCCAGTGGCCTTTCGAGTTCCTCACTTAGTCAGAATAATTGCCTTCATCGTAGACAAAAAAACGAACTTCCCACTGCAGAAAACAGTTTTGACAATGTAGATAATTTAGACGAAGTAAGTACTTTATTTATAAACAGGCTTTAAACTGATTTGTGTTAATAAAGTTTGTTATGATTCTGAAATTGACAAAATTTAAACAGAAATATTAATTTGTGCGAATGTTAAGAACATAGCAATGTTTAATAGTCATTTTTGGCTAAATAAAGTTTTATATTGGTTTCAATTTTCTTATGGACTTTCTGCTGCATTGCTCAACTTTCCTTTGGAATTGTATTTAGCTGCTTTATACATGATTTTTGATTTCTCTTTTTATTACTATTTCTCTTTTATGAATAAACTTTCATTTGAATATCATAAGAAATTAATTATTGCATTTTGAAAATTCGTTAAATGATTTTGTTATTTTAAAGAAAAATATCACAGCTCTAAAATTTATATTGTTTTCTTTTCTTTCTTTCTTTAAGAAAAATTGATTAGCAGATAATATATCTCTGTCTTTGTTTAAAAAGTTGTATTTCATTTTTTTTTTAATATTTTTATTTAATTTTCAATTCTTCAAATTTGTCACTCATATTATTTTTAAGAGTTCATCAATTCAATCACTATGTACCATGAATCGGCCTGTTGGTTGTTATGGCCATAACTCTCTTGTCTAACTCTCATGACCACTTTACCATTCATTTTCAAAAATTAATAACTTCACATACTATTTGTTAATTACAACCTCTTATTAGTATTTATATCAGTTAGTAATTACGTTAATTTGTTATTTATTTATTATTAGTTATTTTATCTCTTTTTAATTATGAACTATTTCTTTCATTTAAATTGAGGTTCATCATAATAACTTAAATCCATAACATGTAAACCATTTTAAAAATTTCCTGATTTTTTTTTCTTTTGACCCTCTACGAGCCCTGAATTATAATTATACACAGATTTATTATGAACATGAATATTGTATTGAGTAAAATATTTTATCTATTTTCAAACTATTTTGGAGAAACATATTATTTAATTTCATGTGTGACGTTTGAGCAAAATCATGGAGAGACCTAATAAAATTTATTATTATAATGAAATCGTGCTTTTCAAATTTTGGCTTTAAGACTTTTAAATTTTAAGCATGAAATTTTTTTTGAGGTAGCATTGTATGTGAAATGACAATCTTTGTAAAAAAAAACATGATATATTCCATTTATTGTGGCATTTATGTTTTTTTTTCTTCTTTTTTTGCATTACAGCTGCTCCAGTACATAGGTTACACAAGCCATGAGTGTGTCTGTGAGAGTGTTCAAGTGTTGAACGTGCCTCCTTCTTTACAAAATAAAGAGGGTAGAGATAAAGAAAATGATATCATAAATAATATTCTCTCTCAAAGGAAACAAGAGCTTTCACAATTTGAAAAGTATTCCTTAAACAGTTGGTAAATATCTTTAAAATAAAACTATTTTTTCTGTATGTGTTGGATATAGAGGATGAAATGGAGGCTTTTTAGACTATATTAAATATTAATTGAATATAAATATGTTAAAATTTATAAGCATCAATTAAAAAAAGTTTATCGCTTATCTCTCTGAAACATATAGTAGGAATATATTGAGAAATTTTTTAAAACAGTAACTTATATTTTTTTTTAATCATAAATATTTTTTTTTGAAAAAACTGATGCCCAGTTGTTGTTAGATGTTTTAATCATACCTACCAGTTTCAGATTCATTTCCTTATGCTAAAGTGTCTGTCTGCACTTTCTTTAGAGTCGTCAGAATCCCAATCCAATGCTCTACCAGTTTCTTAGTCAGAAAAAGACCGTTCATGGTTAGGGATATCGAAATTGAAAGCTTGCCCATGCATCAGTACTGTCTTTAGATCTTCATTATAGAGGAATATAACCCAGCAGTAATAGTGTGTTTTTAGCAACTAAACCAGCAACAAAAATATTCTTTTGAACAATAATGAATAAATAATGTTAGAAGGTTAATTTTAAATTGAAAAGCTAAAAATAATGATAAAAGTTCAATTATCATTTTTTAAGAACTTTATATTTTTTGAAATTATATTTTAACCCACATATTCTGATACAAATTCTTTATGAACTTAAATTAATAGTGTTGTATTTTAGTTTTGGTTATATGCATGCTTAGGAAGATGCTACTTGTCATATTATTTTGTTTATTATGTAACACTGATTAATTTATTTTTAGTTTATTATTTTAATTTATTAAATTTAACTTGAATCCATAACGTTTTTCAGCATGGAAGCAAAAGGAATTCAACCGCCTCAACCTACTGAAGCGAGTTCTCCTTTCCAACACTGCAGGCTGTTACTCAATCAGTTGGGATTTACATTCTGGGATAAAAGGTACTTCTTATAAATATAGGTTTTTTGATTAGTGGAGCACACAAATGAAAAAATATCTTGTTAAGAGCCTGCATTAGCTTGTTCAGGATCGTGATAACATATAGTTGATGATGCAATTCTTTCTTTATGGTCCACGTTGTCATGTATGAGTAGAGCTTTTCTAAATGCAGAGGCTCGTTATCACAGGGATGTAATCTTAATTTGTAATTATTTTTTTTTAAATGACACTAGGTGGCAGTAAAGTCCATTATAATTTCGAATAATGTCGTATAGAGTATTGACCTTCAATGTGTGCAATATTTGATCCGATGTATTTAATCAGAAAAACAACTACGTGTGTTGTGTTCTTTTGAGAGGATTGGGTATGTCATTCTAGGCTTTTGTTTATATTGACTGAATGCAAAAATAAAAATAATGGAATACTTATTAGTTTACATAGATGTAGATTGAAAATTTAAAAATGAAGCTAGACAATGTAAATAAAACACAAATAATACCACTAAAGCACATGACTGTTTTTATCTCTTTATTTACATGTTATTCATGTTGTCTTTTTTTTTTTTTTTTCATATTTAGAACCAAGTATTCTCTTTCTTTTGGAGAAGTGTTACTTTGATTAATCAATCTTACTCTGAAAAAGACATTGAATGTGCATTTTTATAAAACATTTGCACATGAAAAATATTTTTATCCCAAGTTTTGAATAAAATATCAATTTAATTTTTTTACTTATTCTTAGATAAATCAAAATCTTATTAATTTTATAATCAAAATAAATCTATTTATATGTTTGTATTACAAATATTGCTATCATTAACTTGTGGGTGCATAAAATGTTTTTGAGGAGAAGCAGAGGAAATAAAAGTTTCATTGAGCCACAATAATAATTTACTTATTCTTTAGTATAAGACAGCGAATTATGTATAATAATTAAGAAGTATGTCTTTAAGAAGAAAATTTGCATTTTATTATTTTCTGTTTTTAATAAAATTTTTCTTTAGGAATGAACTTTTAAAAGTTTATCTTGGATCCATTAAAAAAAAAAATTGCAATTGATAAATTACTCTTATACGAGGGTTGCTATTTATATTTCTGGCCTAATAATGAAAAAACAAATATGTAGGATCAAAATTGGTTTTATTGTTTTTCAAAATATTCTCCATGATGATCAATACACTCTTGCATGCATTTGAGCCAATTTTCAAAGCACTTTTTCCAGTTCGATTGAGGTAACTCCAAAACATTCATTTTGAATGCATCAACCGCTTCTTCAGGGGTCGAAAATCGTTGTCCAAGTAATTTATTTTTGATGTGTGGGAATAAGAAGTCATTTGGTGCCAAATCAGGGCTGTACGGCGGATGACCCATCAGTTCAATCTTTCACTCCATCAGAAATGCCTTTGTTTGAGTCGATGTGTGAGAGCTCGCATTGTCATGATGAAGAATGATTCGCCTGTTCTGTTTTTTTCGAATTTTTCCGATGACTTCTGGCAAACAAATGGTCGTGTACCATTCAGAATTGACCGTCCTGTGTTGCTCTAACGCCACTGTTGCCACATGACCGTTAATGCCGAAGAAACAGGCAATCATTTGTTTCGATGTGCTTCTTCCTCGAACAACTTTTGTTGGTTTTGCCTCGTCTTGGAAGACCCATACAGTTGATTGCTGTTTTGTTTCCGGCTCATATGCATAGATCCATGATTCGTCACCTGTGTAGATGTTATACACAGCCTTTGATGTACCTTGAACGTATTTTTCCAACATTTCCTTGCACCAATCGACACGAGCCTTTTTTTGAGCGTTTGTCAGATTATGCGGGATCCAACGCGAACAAATTTTTTTTACGCTCAAATGTTCATGCAATATTTTATTGATGCTAGTCATACTAATGTCCAAAGACGCCTCTATCTCACGGTATGTCACATGACGATCTTGCTTTATCAGTTCACGCACAGCATCGATCTTTTCTGGCACAACAACGGATTTTGGACGACCTGCACGGGATTCGTCCTGGATCGAACATCGACCACGATTAAATTCGTTATACCAATTTTTTACAGTGCTGTAGGATGGCGCTTTATCGCTGAATAAAGAATTAAGTTCATCGAAGCACTCTTGTCTTGACAATCCACGTCGAAAGTTATGAAAAATAATGGCACGAAAATGTTCACGATTCAATTCCATTTTTTGAAAGAGAAGAACTTTTCAATTTACTGTCAACAACACAAATGAAGCTATAATGGTAAATCGTCTGCTGAATTTATGTTTAAAAATATCAAACTTTCGATTAAAATCGTCTGCGGTCGCCTAGCAACACTTACTGTTGCCAAGGCCAGAAATATAAATAGCAACCCTCGTATTAAATTTTTAATCACATTGGTTGAAATATGTTTTGGATTAAGAATAATTTCTTAAAAAATATCCAAAATGTTAAAAATTTGATCTATAAAGTGATATTCCTACACTTTAAAACAAATACTTTTGTTATTTCGTCTGAATTTATTAAAACTAGTTTTAAAATTTTTAAAAATGTAAAATAGTTTGTATGTTATGCTGATTTTTCAAAATAGTTTTTGGTTAATAGTCCCTCATTGATCAATTTAAGGCTGCAGGTTATGCACACCTACATTAAATTGTTCAGATGATATGTATTAATTGGCAAGTAAAGAAACCCGTTTTTAAATTAATTGTAACTTTCTTTTTAGATCTCAGTTTGATTTATTGAAGAAAAATGAGCAGCTGCTGCGAGAATTGAGAAATCTTGACAAGCAAATGTGGTAAATTTTTACTTACCTGCATTTTATTTGCAAGTTCAAATTTTTTCTTTTCTTTATTATAATAAAATAAAGTTTTTATTAATTATTTGATTAATCTTAGTTAATTTTGTCTTTTATAATATGAAAAGAAATTCAAGTATTAAAATAATTTTCTTATGAATAAATATTTTTTTCTTATATAGCAAAAATGTTTAGTTAGCATAATAAATTTCACTTTAATAATTAGAATATTAAAAATAATTCATAAAAATTTGTAATATATTTATTATATATTTGTAAATAATACATTTCTGCTTGAAAGTTAATTGTTCACATTTTTTTTCTTTACAGTCGAGATACTCATAAAATTGCTGTTATATATGTTGCTGCTGGACAAGAAGATAAGAATTCCATTTTATCTAATCCAGGAGCTAGTCAAGAGTTTGAAGAATTCGTAGCTGGATTAGGCTGGGAAGTATGTAAAATATTAAAAAAAGAAAAACATTATTTAAGAAAATTTATGTTAAAGTAGCTATTATATTAAATATTATCAAGATTAAAATTCTCAACCAAAAGGTAAAAATATTTATTCCTTGTATGCTTTTAGTTAAATTCAACAAATAAAATATTAAAAAAGATAAACATCAAAATGTGTGCATTTTTTTTTATTTGCTTAAATTAGAAGCTGAAGCTACTCTTAATCTGAGGTTTCTCAATTTTTAGTTCAAGGGAAGTTTGAAACATTTCCAAGATGATTATCAACAAAGCAAGACAATTTTAAAAATATGGCCCTGTAGTAAGGGGCAAATATAATTTTCTGAAGTCAAAAGATTTGTTCATCTATATCTCTAGTTTGTTGGCAAATAAGCCTCACAAGTTTAAAAAAAAATAATAAAAAATACAGTACAAAATGCCTTATCAAAATGCCTATTTTCTGAACACTTTTTTGCAATCAAAATAAACAAATTTCAGTTTACATTTTTAATCAATTAAAAAAGATAATATAAGAGATAATGTAAGGAATATTTTTTCTTCTTTTCTGATAACTTAATTTTTATTCTGCTTCAATAGACAAAAAACAAATTTGTGTAAGAAGAATAAACTCAATATTAATGAAGCTTGATAATAATAGTGTTTGAAGAGAACAGTGTTAGTGTTTGGTTCCCTTTAAATTATAAATGTATTTATTAACAAAATCTATACTCAATTCTCTTCATTGTTTTATTTTATTTTTTTTTATTAAATGAGATTAATTTACTTTTGTAGTTTGAGGCCTTTTTGTTATTATATGATCATTTGCTCAGTTAATTTTTCATATCAAATAGAAAAAATATATAGAAAAATGTATCTTTATTCATGAAAAGAAAGTTCAAATTATCGTTTGCTCACTTTATTTATTTATTTTTTTAACCTATAAGAAATGTTGTATTTCGATTTCAGGTACTCAGTACTTTTCACTGTATGTAATTTAAAACTATCATTCATTACATAATAATATTAATACTCTCCTAGGATTCAGGGAAATTGTAAGTATATTATAAATCATTGCAGGAGTCAGTTTCAAGAGGGGGAAAAAAATTTCGATTTTATTTCCACTCTTACATTTAAAAATTATTCATGCAATGACCAACTTTAAAAAAGTTACTTCAATTTAACAACTACGTAATATACATGCCAGCAAACTTTTGAAATTTAGCAATGTATACAATGACAATTCAGAAATGAATGAAGAATGGTTGTTTCATACTTTTAATTAGTATGATTGCAATTAATTAATATTGTTTGGAAGTAATTTCTGAGCATGACAAGTATGTTTTTAAAGAACTTGGCAGAGACGTTTAGGCTATTGAATAATAATCCGTACACTGTTGTTTTCTATTCACTGAAGCCACTGTTCCATCATCTCTACATTGATGTTTTCCTTGCAAAATAAGCCATTTAATGTAAAATTTGTTTTCATAAAAAAATTAAGAAGAAATTTTGAAAATTTAAAGAATCTGACCCAATCTTCACTTTAAGAATCAGTTTCAGATCGTGCATAATCATAAACCAATTTTATCAATGGCTATTAAATTTTTTAAACAGATATATATTAGGAACATAAATTAGAGTAAAATTATTATTTATTTTTATTTATCTATAAGAGTCTATTTATCCATTATTTTGCTTTTATAGGTTGAATTAGAAACTCATCCAGGATTTTTAGGAGGATTACAAAGGAATAAGACGACTGGTGATACTGCTCCCTATTATGCCACACCCTTCACAGAAGTCATATTTCATGTCTCTACTAGAATGTCTGCTTCTATGGAACCAGATTCTATTCATAAAAAAGTATACTTTTTTATTAATAACCTCTTTTTGGTTTTAAAAATAGACCTAGTCCTTGAAACTTAGTTCCACCCCCTGGCAAATGCTGTAATTTCATTGGGTGGAATCGACTTTGGAGTTACTGGGTAGATTTTTTTAAAATATCAAGAGTGCCTGATTTTATGTATTTTTTCAATCTAACTTGTATTTCTTCAGATCTCCATTGTACCCTATTTTCATCTTTCACAGTGCCTCGTGAAAAACAGAAATGTAAAAACTTGAATTAATTGGAGTACGTCTTTCTGAAATCCAGATCTGCATTAAAATTGTTGTATAACACATTTAATTAAATAAAAGGTAGTAACATAAATAAATGCTCATCTTCTTGTGTGTCACTCACACTAGGAGGCAAATTCTGCAGTAGTGTGTGCATAAAGAAATCTAGACTTATTCACCTCACTCTATTAAAATCAAGATTACCTTTTAAAATTAAAGTTCATTGTTAAATAAACATAATTAACACATTAAGTGCTTATGACACATAGGGGACTGACGTTGAACTTTTCATTTACGTCACATCAGTCGCCGTGACTGACAATATGAAATAGTATATAAAACTAAAAAATTACATTGTTTTAAGTAATTACTAAATATTTTTTTTACATTTACTTAATTTTTATTTATTATAATTCAAAATTTCAAACTATAATACGTGATCTTCTACCCATCATGCCTGAAATAGATTTTGAAAAAAATAGTTGTGATGATGCTCAATAGTTAATATAAGTTGGGAAGCAAACGTTCTTGACAAGATGGAGATAAGAAGAGTAGTGAAAACTAGAACTTGAGATAAGCATTAAACAGTGTTATCCAGTGGAAAAAAATAATTAATTCTATCAGAATTTTTATTTGTAAAATATATGTGTTTTATAGTAAAAACATGGGAGCTTTTATTAAAAATTTTGAAGGTGCCCTCATCCCATCCACAGATGGTAAGAGATGGCGTTTCTCATATTTGTTCATTTCATAAACAAAAATGAGGAAACTTTATTTAAACGGTTACAGTGTTTTATCCCTAAATGCAAATAAAGTCTAAATAAAGCTCTCATTTTTTTAATATATATTTATTCATGTTTTTAAATTTTTTGTTTCGTCTATCACGAAAGAAAAACCTTATAATTTTATTTCGTCCAGATGAGACCCTATAAATGTACGTAAATTTAACGGCTATTTAATATCACAGATCATTTTTTATCTTTTATTTTTCAATCTTGGAGACTTTCCCCTCCTCTCACTATGTTTTCATTTTTGAAGAGTTAGATCATTTTAACAATTTCATTTGTTCAATTTTAAATTCTTTAAGATTCTGGTAACATATATATTATTTTGTTTTTAGTGATACGATTTTTATCTTACCTTTATCAAAGTGTTTTTCTAAATCATCTAATCTACATAATGAATTAATACATATCAAAAAAATTAAAACCTGTCATATCTTTTGAAAAGATTTACTAACTTTGCATTATTTAAAGATAATTAATGTATAAATTTTGGTTTAATTCCTATAGCGGGTTCCTATTTATTTATGTATTTATATTAATAAAATAATTACCTGGTTTTAGTAAAAAAGGACCCAGAAAATTATGAGTCTTTAAAGACACATAGCTTCTAATGTCTAGCGGAATCGCTGATCTCTCAAAGTTATTTGACTTTTTTTTAATTTGATTTTTTAGGTTTGCCATTTGGGAAATGATGAAGTGCATATTGTGTGGTCTGAACATTCCAGAGATTATAGAAAGGAAATAATTGCGACTGAGTTCTGTGATGTTCTCATTGTAATATATCCTGTTGGTGGAAGAATGTATCGAATACACATATCAAGGAAGCTGGGTGTAAGTTGTTCAAAATCATCATTGACATTTTATATTTTGTATTATTTTGAACTTTTTTTGAAATTACTATTTCAATATTGCTGTAGATTCCTTTTTTCGGACCTCTGTTTAATGGGGCTATTGTCGGTCATAAAGTGCTGCCTGGACTGGTTCGAGCAACAGCAATCAATGCTAACAGAGCTAAGCGATCTCTTATGTCTCTTTATATGAATTAGTATCCTTTTATATTGATTAGCTTAAAATGTCGTGATTGTTTTTCAGACGTTGTTCATATTGATTTGGGGAAATTCTGGGGTTTTCATATCATCCTTCCAGGTCTAAAAACTAAGAGAAAGGCATGTGATTTTTTTCCACGAACAAACGCTTATAATCCGACAAAATTTTCACGGAGTTCACGATATGAAATTTAAATTTTGAAACTTTCGCCAAATCCCGTTAGCAAGACGTTTGCAAACTTGTTATTTTTCCACCAATTTGATTCTTTTGATTTGGCAGTATTTCTGCAGTTTAAATATTTTGAAACTTTCAGAATCGGCTAATCTTTGCATGAATTAAACATTCATATTCGCATGAAATAAACATTCATATTCGCATGATTTAAACATCAAGCATTGTGATACATATTCATGCTATTTAAAAGGCCAATATCTTGGTTTGCATCTGCTAGTTTTAAATATCAATATTGTGATTTGTATTTGCACCTTTTCAAAGTCCGATATCAAGATGTGTATTCATGCGAGTTTAAAAAGCAATGTTGCGATTCATATTCTCAGTGTTTTTAATATTGAGATTTCTATTCACACATTTGTAATATCTAACATTGATTTTTTTTTTTTTATTTATACTTGATTTAAAAGTTAGATATTGTGATTTCTTATGTACACTACTTAAAAATCCATTATTCTTTTTAAATCCATTATTCTTCAATCTGATATTTTTATTTGATAGGTAATTTACTTATGAATCTTATTTCAAAAAATTATATTAAAAATGTATAGTATATGCATTGATATCAAGTTTTTGTATGTAAAATTTTCAGAATTTTTCTCTTTGTGTCCTAATCATCCTTGAACTTAATTTGGTAGCAGTTTAAAAAATTTAAGAATTTAGTTTGACTATTATAAATTAATAATGTATTCTATAATATATTTATCAAATATTATTTGAATATATTATTTACTATATATATTAGAATTTGTATTGATTCAAATGAAAAAAAATTCATTCAAATAATTGATATAAATGTTACAAAATATATTCTTCTTAATAATTTTTTAATTTATTTTTGTTTCTGAACTGTCACGGGCTGCACGTCATAGACGAATGGTCCTAGGTCTAGCATAGGATTTTAAAAAAATTTTGCTTTTCATATATGCTTGTTTTTGTATTGGCTACACAATGATTGTTCATTGAATGAAGCAAACTAGTTGGTTTTCCCTTTTTTTTCTTAAATTTTTTGTGGAGAACGAAATGTTTTCTTACATTATGCCAATTAGTTATGAAGAAAGAAACAAATCTTTGGAAGTGATTGTACAGAATCACAAAGACCAGACAACATTTGAGCAATTTGCTGCCTGTATATATTCACCTGCACCAGCAAAAACTAGTGTTCAGAGTCGATCATCAGGTAATTTAATTTTTTTCTCCTCTGTTGTATTTTGATTTTTTCTTCAGTTTTCTGCCAAGGCACTCTTAGACTTGTTAAGGACGCCTATGCCAATGTATAGTGTTTTGTAATGTTTTCTACCTGTTCAGGACCTCCTAGCCGTACAGACAGTGCCTGTTCCAGAGGTATGCCTAACTTAGCCGCAGCTCTCCTGGATGCACACGGTGGCAAAGGCGGATCATCGTACAGCCCCAGCATCAGGAGTCGGACTGCTAGTCAGTCCACAGTTGAAGACATTTCACCTCATAGCTCTCCACAAACTTCACTTCGAGGTATACAGCTTCTTTCTAACTATTATTTGTGAACAGTAGAATCTTGACTGTCATTTTATTTTAAGCATACAATAGGGGGAATGCCCCTTGCTTTGCTCTTATACCCCATAATTGCTAAGCAATCATCTTTGTTTTAAATTATTGGGGATGAGAGTTCTATGCCTTTTACCAAATTTTTGCATTTTCAACCAATTTTCTATCTTTACACATCGAGACTCATCTTCCGCATTTTGGAAATCTGTTCATTAAATATTTCTTTTCCGTTTTGAGACAAGTCAAATTGGATCATATCATATTAGAAAAATATCATATTAAAAAAAATTGTATTTGAAAGAAAAAAAATTGGGATTTTAAAGCCATATACAAATAACAAATCCAGAACACTGTCTTACTGGGAAAACGATCAAGATTAAGTGGATTTATGAGAAGATTCATGGATTGAATGAGTAAAGACTGAGGTGGATTTAAGATAGTCGACACCGATGGGTAATCTAATTAAAAATAATGGGATTTTAAAAACCGCTCAGAAATTTTTAGCAATAACTGTCAAAAAAGTGATGAACAAGATCATGTGGAATAAGTTAGAATCACCATGGATCAAACGTATAAAAATTATACTGAAATGCGCTATTTGAAATTCGCATGTCACTTTAAAATTGTATAAAAAAGCGGGATTTTAAAGACAGTGTAGAAATCAGTGAAGATAATTATCTAAAATATCAAACGCTTAACCGAAGCTTTTAAAAATGTTATTGAAAATTTATGTAAATCAAATGAAAAATTACTATTAGCAGATGTATCCACTTCATTGTAGAATTTTATTAATCATTTCTGATCCAAACAGTCACCCCAATTTTCTTTCAGTAGGATTTTTTTTTAAAAAAAATTTAGTTTTTAAGGAATCAAAAATTGAAAGATTTTATTTATAAAAGAGCGCAATAAATTTCCTGCGAACTGTATCTTGTAAAATATCTGTTTAATAGATAATTATATGATTTTTAGGTTTTTTGCATAAATTTTATAATACACATTCAGGTAATGAATCAAAATTTTACTAGCTGCTTAGTAGCAAATAAAATTTTTAAAAAGTACCCAGAACCAGCCAGGTAAAAGATTCAATTTTCATTAGATGCCCAGACTCTACAAAATTTTTGGACCTTGTACATCTCTACCTGATGCACATTTTAAACTGCATTAAAGCCTTTTTTTTTTTTACATCTTTTGGTGTACTAGTACTAAATTTTATTTTCAAAAGTTTTAAATTTCGTATTCTGGATATACATTATTTATGCAACATTGTTTAATTGCTTGAACACAGATTTGATTAAGATGAAATAACGATTTATTTCGATAAAATCATCTTATTAATATGCTCGGTTGCAATTTTTTTTTAATTTTTGTGTACCATAAGAAATTGATGATTTTTTTTAAAAAAATTTGCAGAGAGATTGTTTAGTAATAGTGCTAAAAGCAAAAAGTTAATTCTTAATAATATTTTTTTTAAAAAAATTTCGTTATTTTATATTGAGTGGACACAGTTTTACACAAAGTTTAGCTACTAATTAATATATGTTTATCATAAAATGTTGCTCAATAGGATAATATTATAGGATTATTTAATAATAAGGAAATAAAGCTTCTAGTTTTAAGTCTTTCATTTGAAATAATAATCAAAAATGAAATAATCACAGAGAATTCTTAGGAAGGATGATGAATATGACAGGTAAACAATACCTTTGTAACTTTTATTAATTTATGCTGATGAAAACCAAAGAAATGTTAATTTTTATGTGTGAAAACTGGATCATACAATGATTTATCTGTCCATTGAGNAGCTTTTGAAAATTTTATTGAAAATATATGTAAATCAAATGAAAAATTACTATTAGCAGATGTATCCACTTCATTGTAGAATTTTATTTATCATTTCTGATCCGAACAGTCACCCCAATTTTCTTTTAGTAGGTTTTTTTTTTAAAAAAATATTAGTTTTTAAAGAATCAAAAATTAAAAGATTTTATTTATAAAAGAGTGCAATAAATTTCCTTAGAACTGTATCTTGTAAAATATCTGTTTAATAGATAATTATATGTTTTTTTAGGTTTTTTGCATAATTTTTATGATACCCATTCAGGAAATGAATCAAAATTTTACTGGCTGCTTAGAGCAGGCCAGGGGCCCTATTACCAGCTTCACGGAATCTGATTCCGATCGAAATGAAGCTCTCGTGACGTCATAAATTTGTGAATGTTAGTTAAGCCGTATTACGAGCTCTTGATTCCACTCGGAACTAAATTCCGATGCGAAATTATTACGAATCCGATTCCGGCAGGTTTAGAGTAAGCGAAATCTAGATTCTGATAAGAGTTTGTTTATTTCAGTGAAAGTTATTAGAAATTATGGGTGCGCTTTATGCTCCGGAATATACGGTAGTTACAATTTTTTAAAATTTCCATTTTAATTTTTGTGTACCATAAGAAATTGATGATTTTTTTTTTATTTTGCAGAGAGATTGTTTAGTAATAGTGCCAAAAGCAAAAAGTTAATTCTTAATAATAATAATATTTTAACAGTTTTTTTTTCATTATTTTATATTGAGTGGACACAGTTTTACACAAAGTATAGCTACTAATTAATATGTGGTAATCATAACATGTTGCTCAATAGGATAATATTATAGGATTATTTAATAATAAGGAAATAAAGCTTGTAGTTTTAAATCTTTCATTTGAAATAACAATCAAAAACGAAATAATCACAGAGAATTCTTAGGAAGAATGATGAATATGACAGGTAAACAATACCTTTGTGACTTTTATTAATTTATGCTGATGAAAACCAAAGAAATGTTAATTTTTATGTGTGAAAACTGGATCATACAATGATTTATCTGTCCATTGAGAATGCATGGACCAATTAATATTTTGATTGCGCTAACTTGTGTGTTTTACTTATATTTAGATCGTCCATTATCTGTCTCTCAAAGTCAGACGTAGTGTGATTCCATATTCTGAGTGATATTGAAATTCCTGACAAATGTGTAAAGAAATAAAGATAGTTGAAGAAAAATAACTTCCTTATTTGTACAGTTGAGACAAAAGAAGTAAATCTAATAAAAGTGAAAATTGCCTTTGTGAAAGAAGATATTGATAGTGATCTGAAGTGCCATTTCTATGGTGGTGATAAATCTACTTGTTATAAATGATTATTAGCAATTGTATTCATTCCAAAGACTGTACAGTGTTAAATATTATATTGTAATATAAATATGGGTCTCTCCTTGCATTACTTCTCAAATGATTTTTTTTATTATTAAATTTAATTCATTTCTTTAATCAAAAAATCATTTCTTCATTCAAAGAAATCTTTTCTTATTGGCGTTATTGTTTAACTTAAAGAATTAATGTTATGTTGATATATTTATTTTTCTTAATTGTGTATAAAAAAAAGTACTTATCTAATATTAGTATTTTTGTACAATGAAATTATTCTTAAATTGTTCGAGAGTTTTACCTTAAATATGTACAAAATCGGGCACAAAAATGTAATGACTCTTACCAGACATACCTGTCTGGAATCATCCTTGTATAAATTAATTTGTTTTACAATTGTGTTTAAATTTACAATTGTGTACAAATGTGCTATTTTTGGTTCCCTTAAATAGTTCCTAAGTTATAGCGAAATTCAAGGTAACATTTTGTGTTTTTCTCTTGAATAAACGGTTGAGAATATATTTTCCTGATTATGGCTACCTACTCATATATTAAGAACAAGAAATACAAATTCATAAAGAAAGAATACTTATGGAAATAGCATTTTTCTTTCTAAATTTGTAATTATAGTAATGGGTTTCCATCATTGACTTGTAATAAAGATATATCCCCTAAGCTATCAAGATTGCATCATAGTTTGAGAAAATTTTATCCTTACATTGAAAGCCTATATTCACGATGTACCTTTTTTTGCGTACATAATACATTTTTAAAATTAAATATTTATTTTTAAAAATAGGAGTATCTTGCATTTAGAGCTTTTTCCTTGTAAGGGCAAACTGTGTGTAGCAAACTTAAAATTTTTGTTTCTTTTAAAGAGTTACACAAATTTCATAAGGTAAGGCCGTTTATGTCTAAACAGGTATATTTTTCTTTAAAATTATCTATATTTTAGTTTAAAATAATATCCAACATTAAATACCTATCTACAAGTTAAAAAAGTTAAAACATTCAAATCAATCAGTTTAAAGTAATGATGCATCTAGGCAATCTCGTGGCCAAAAAGAGAATTGTCCATACTATTCTTAAACATGAGTTCTGGCAAAAAACAATTTGTATGATTTTTTTTCTGTTTGTAAATTAAGTAATTTCTTTCCTTTTACTGTTGTTATTTCTGGTGTACTTTTTGGTATATTTCTGCTTACCACGCTAATTTAAACCTAATATCCTTCCAGTTTAATTTTTAAAAAACTTTTTTAATTGTTTAATTAATAATTCTATATTTTAGTTTATATTTCTTATTGTTATATAGTGCTTAAAATACATAACAGAGCACACTACTTTTAACTTAACAATTGGTTTTTTATGTTCAGGGACTCAATCTTACTGGTTCTTGGGTCAGATCTCAAATATACTAATTAGTTAATGTAGACAATATTTTAAATTATGAAATGCTCATATACCTGCACTCTCAGAATAAACATACCTCTTTTTTTGTGAGATTCAGATTCTTGACTGTCAAACTGATCCCAATAGTTGAGTAGAACGATCGTAAAATTGGACTCCTTTATGTATACTTAGTGCATATTTTGCTTATCTCGAGAATTTTTGAAGCTAATCAAAAAATATTTTACTCATGCAATTAGAAAGTGTATTTATCCAAAAACATTTCCATGCAATCTGTTGGGGGAGGGGGATATGTTTATGCATAGAAAGTAAGTTTTTTTGTCTGATTTAATAACGTAAAATATTTTCTGCATCAATTAATTAGCTTCTGTGAGATCAGGCCAGCCTTCAAACCATTAAGATTGAGAAATCTGATCATTAGATTAAAAGTTTATTTAAAAAGGGATCATTTACATGCTGTTAAAAGTGGTAAGTTACATGGAGTTATTTACGCGGCAATATATTTCAAAAGCGTGAGAAATAATTTAAAAAATTCACATTCAATATAAAATTCTAGCATATTTCATACCATTCTCAATATTATTATTTATTATTAGCAACATTTTTTTAAGCTTCAACTTTAGTCTGCAAACATATATATTTTTAAATTAATTAAAGTTACCATATTGTTTCAATTCTGTTTCTTTTGAACGAACAATATGTTGCTATTTAGTTTAGTATTTACAAATAAAGACCGTTGTCAATTATTAATTAATAAAATTATACATTAATCTTAAATGCTAACTTAGTTCCATGATCAAAAACTAGTTTTAAAAAACCACGCAAAATATTTCATATAATATTTTTCTTCTGATTTTTCTTGTGAAATAAAGTTTAAAACCATATTTATCATGATTTTATCCTCTTCCTACTATTAAATTGAAAAATAAGCATCTAATTCACTATTTTAGCAGTGAAAGATATGTAAATGAAAGAGATTTTGTATATTCTGAGAGCTAATTATTATAAGAGTATTTGTATATAGCTGTAAAGAAAGACTTGTTTTTCTTATGATTTTTCAGAGAATTGTTCTTTATTGCCCAACCTTGATAGAATTAAATTATTTTTGAAGGAAAAAAAATTATTATTTGTGGTTGAATTTAATGAAATTAAGAAGTATGATTTTTTTACTGTGATGTTCCATGTTACCTGTAAATATGTTATTTTTTTATCTTGTTGATTTCTTTACTTTTTGTATTATTTTGCTATGAAAATGTTTTATTCCGACTGCTAACACATAGAGTTGTTTTATATATGAGAATATAAAATAGTTTGTTGAATGGGGTATAACAGTTTCAAAAAAGAGAATATTTATTAGTATTTCATGTTATTAATATTTTCATTTGAGTTATTGAATTAAAGTATGCTGCATTTGAAATTATTTTTAACGTAACTTTAATAAAGAACTAACATGTATTTTAATGTATTCTGTGTTTATGAAGTACCTGAAGTGATATTTAGCGTTTATGATTCTTATGGAAAAAACACCCTTGCTAAATTCAGATTTTTACTTTAAAATGATTTGAAAATAATTTTTAAAAAGTGGTAAATATACTGAACTAATATAAGTATTGTGCTTCTAGTAGAATTTTATCATTTAGCTACTTAAAACATTCATGATCTCAGATATGTCCACAGTGCATGTTGAAACATGTAGTGATCCATGTAACTAATAAGGAAATTGCTCAAAGTATCCTTTAACATCAGGCTAATTTTTTTATACATAAGTTTTTAATTGGGTTGGAAGTAATATGTATATTTTTAATTTTATCTATTTTGATTTGTATGTGGAGATTTAAATTAAAAATCTAAGTAAAGTAGTACCTAAATTTTCTAAAGAATTGTAAAAATTTTGCCAAATGTGCTATAACAAATACGATGACAAAAACCACATTTAAGATACTTAAAATATATAAGTACTTTATTATTTGGAAATACTTTTAAATATTAAAAATATATGAATACTTTATTATTTGGAAATACTTTTAAGCATTAAAAATATTTCATGTTTGCATTTTTCATACTATTTCATCACAAATACATATTTACTTAATCTAATGAAATGGAATTTAAATAAATTTCTTTTTTAGGTTGCATGACAAAAATCATAAATGTGCATAAATACTATTTCAAAGATAATTAATATATTATAAAATTTATTTATGACATTTATCAATATTCTTTTAGCACATAAAGAAATAAATAGTTCTGACAACCACACTTGTTTTAATTGTTATTTCTGATTATGCAATACAAAGAACATAATTATTTAAAAAGTGATTAATTAAATTTGTCTACCTTTAATATTTTAGATAAAAGTTTGTATGAATGTGTGATTAGAAAATAAGTAATATTCCTAATGAATATTATCCTTATTACACTTCATTATTATGTGTTGTCAGTGCAATGACCTGAATAATTAAATGCACTGCAGAAATTTAATTTTTCCTTTTTTGCTGATGTTAGTAAAATAATTTAAAAGCAAAATAATAAGAATGAATAAATAAGTTAGAGTATCTAACAGGGCCCAACAAGCCTAGGGCATGTAAAAGTTTTTATCAGGCGTATTTTTCCCCCCTTTACTTGCATGCCCGGGCATGTAAGTATTTAAACTGAAATAAGAATGACGATAAGCGCCCTTAAGAATTTATAAAACAAAAAGCTAGTTTATTCCTTCTTTTTTTTTCTCTTCACCATGCATACTTTTATTACCTTTACTGTGCTGAAAAAGAAATGATAAAAGTTGAATTGAATTTGAAATCAAAAGCGATAATTTTATTGTTTTAATAATTCTAACTTATCATGTGTTTCAATACTTTAATGAAATTCAACAAATATCTCAGAGCCGGTAATTTTTATTTTTAATGCGAAGTTTTTATTCCCCCGATTCCGACTTATTTGTATTTTCATTTATTTATTTTTTTATCCTGCTAAAATTCTTTTTGGTCTTTTCATTAAACCTTTTCATTTATAGAGTTGTAGATTCCTGCTCGTGCATCCCTGGTGCCTTAGGCTATAATGCTTGCACTGAAATGTTAACTTTTCTTTCAAAATTATTTACTTTCATATATTTCAATATTTCTAAAAATTTTAACTGTGACATTCATTTCAACACAGAAAGAAAGTATACGACTGTAGTTTTATTTCTTTATGGTTCCAAATGTATTTTGTATCATAAATTCAGGCTAAATTTGATAGTTCATTTTTTTTAAAAGTTAATTTTTCATCTTGGTTAACAATTTCATGAACATAATAAAAGAAACATTGTTTTTCTTTAAATACAGTTTATTAATATTGCCGGAATTCAACTCAGTCGACATGTGTTGGATCCATTAATTTTAATTGTAAACATAATATTTATCTTTATATGAAAAAGTTCTTTTAAGAATTCCAATTCTGATCACTATATTGTATTTTCTCTAATACTCTTTAACTTCGTAGTCTATTGTATTGTGATAATAAATTATATATATATTATTTGTAACATATGTATATTTGTAATAAATAACAGAAAACTTGTATAAAATGGGAATATGTAATATGGTTCTAGTGGTTTTAATGCTACTAGTTACTCAGAAATAAAATTAAATTTACTAATTTACTCTTTTCCTTTTAATTTGTTGTGTCTGAACCAAAAAAAAATTCTTGTAACATGAAAATACACACTATTTCTTGTTTCCCTCTTTATCTATATTGTGCCAAATTAAGAAACAAAGCAGCTGAATAATCTAATGAAGGAATTTTAACGTAGGTACTGATGTGAAATCGTAATGATTTTAAGTATTCACTTTGAAAATGGAAATTTGTGCAGACGATGTTATAAGTTGCGAAAATAGACACAGAAGCAACCTTTTTTCATACAATGACTTTCAGCAGCAGTCTCTAGCCAGTATGTAAATATGTTTTTTAATTTTAACAGCTTTTGGAGGGCTGTTTAAATGAGTGAAAAACAAATAATTTTTGTTATATATTATAACCAATTATATATATTATAACCTTGTTGAGCTTGTGCAGAAGTGGCTACCTGGTACTGGCTAGACACTACTTGCTGCTGAGTTTCTTGAGCTTGTGAAGAAGCAGCTGCTTGGTGCTGGCTAGACGCTGTATCTTTTTAAGATTCTTGAGTTTCAGCAGAAGCAGCTGCCTGGTAAAGCCTAGTTACTGTTTCCTGTTGAGAATATGTTTGTTTTTCACTGCTTGAAGACATGTGAATAGAGGAAGACAATACAACAGATGGAGGGTCTGCATGGGGTATAAGTACCGGAACAGGAATGGGTATTGGTAATGAATCTAATACAGGTACAGGCACAATTATAGGTTTTGGCAAGCTCTGGAAGTGGTGTTGTTAATGGGAGAGGCAATGGAGGTGAAAGAGGTTTTGGTGCTGGTAATGGGATAGGCAATGGCACTGGAAGAGGTTTTGACACAGGCAGGTTTCGGCACAGGCGCTGGAAGAGGTTTTGACTATGGTGCTAGAAGCGGTTTCGGTACAGGCGCTTGAAGATGTTTTGGCACAAACACTGGAAGAGGTTTAGGTCCAGGCACTGGAAGGGGTTTCGTCACAGACACTGGAAGAGATTTGGGTACAGGCGCTGGAGGATGTCTTGGCACAGGAAGAGGTTTCGGCAAAGACACTGGAAGTCTTTTAGCAATGGTGCTGGTAATGGGATAGGCGATGGAGCTGGATGAGGTTTTGGCAAAAGTGCTGGAAGCAGTTTCGGCAATGATACTGGAAATGTTTTCTTTAATGGAGCTGGAAGACGTTTCTGTAAGGGCCTAGAGATAAGTATTGGCAAAGGTGGAAGAGGATTAGGCAAAGGTTGTAAATGAATTACTGGATTTGGTAATAGCACTGGTATTGTTTCTGGAAAAGGCTCAGGAAGCAGTACTGGATCTGGAATAGTTTCTCTCAAAGGCTCTGAGAGAGGTATTGGTGCTTGTAATGGGAGAGGCACTGGAAGAGGTTTTGGCAATGGTGCTGGTAATAGTATTTCCAACTTCGATGTCTGTTGCGAGGACTCTGTTGTCTGTTTAGAATACTGCGATGCCTGTTGTAAGAACTTCTCTATATCCCTTTCCGAATACCTTTTGTGAGAATTCCTATGTATGTTGTGAGGACTGGGCAGTCTGCTCTAAAGTCTCTGAAACCTGTTGGAAGGACTCTGTTACCTGTATTGATGTCTCTGCTTCCTGTTGCGAGAACTCTGTTGCTTGTTGCAAGATCTCCGATACCTGTTGCGAGGATTCCGATGCCTTTTGTGAGGATTCTGATATCTCTAGTGAGAACTCTGGTAACTGCTGCGAGGAAGACGATGCCTGTTGGTAAAATGAAGAATCATGCTGAAGGGAGGCATAATCTTGTTATGAGGATTCGGAAGCCTGTTGCGAAGATGCGGCACCCTGTTCTGATGATGTAGAAGCTTTTTCTGCTCTGATACAGAAGTGTGCCCTTGAACGTCCTGGTACAGGATAGATGTTGCTGCTTGTTTGCTCAGCTTGTGTGGAAGTGGCTTCTTGATATTGGCTAGAGGCTACCTGCGATTGAGATTGGGAAGAAGCGGCTGCTTGGTATTGACTAAATTCATCTGATTGTTGTTGAGATTGTGAAGAAGAGGCTTCCTGATACAGGTTAGATGCTGATGCTTGTTGCTGAGCCTGTGCAGAAATGACTGCCCTATTTTGACTAGACTCTGTTTCATGTTGAGATTGAGAAGAAGCAGCTGTCTGGTATTGACAAGATGCTTCTTGTTGTTGATATTGTGCAGAAGTGGCTATTTTGTATTGGCTAGATGCTGATGCTTGCTGTTTAGCTTGTGCAGAAACTGCTGTCTCGTATTGACTTGAAGATTCTTCTTGTTGTTGAGCTTGTGCAGAAGCAGATGCCTGGTATTGACTGGACTCTTCTTCTTGTTGTTGAGATTGTACAAAATAAGCTGCTTGGTATTGGCTAGATGCTTCTTGTTGTTGAGATTGTGCAGAAGCGACTTCCAGATATTGGCTAGACTCTGTTTGTTGTTGAACTTCTGCAGAAGCTGCTGCCTGGTATTCTCGAGTACTTCCTGAGATTGAGCAGAAGCGGCTTTTTTGTATTGACTAGAAGCTACTGCTTGTTGTTCCGATTGAGAAGAAATTGCCGCTTGATATTTGTTGGATGCTGCTTATTGTTGAGCTTGTACAGAAGCTGCTGCTTGTTGTTGAGCTTGTACAGAAACTGCTGCTTGTTAATCTTGTTCAGAAGCTGATGCTTGTTGTTGAGCCTTTAGAGAAGCTTCTGCCTGGAATTGATTAGAAGCTGCTCCTTGTTGTAATTGTGAAGAACCGACTTACTGGTACTGGCTAGATGCGGATGTTGGTTGTTTAATTTGTGCAGAAGTTGCAGCTTGGTATTCGCGAGACGCTGCTTGCTGTTGCGATTGTGAAGATGCAAAATCCTTTTTTTGAACCGCCTGTTGAGTAGTTGAAGCTACTTGTATTTCATTGATTTCTTGAAATTGTTTGTTTGAGATTGATGCAGTTTGTTCTGTAGTTTGTAACTCAGAAGCTTCCCCATTGGTTTGAGCTTCGAATGTTGCATGAATTGTGCAAAACCTGAACTGCTTTCCTCGGAAGTTGACGAAACATCTGCTTGATTATGGTTTTGAGTTGTTAAGGAAGTTGCCGCTGTTATAGTAGTTTCAGATATTGCATTATTTGTGCTAAATTGTTCACTTGATTCAGATTTACTTTCTTGTCTTTGCGGAACTCACGTAGCTTTTTCTAAACTTTCCTTTTCTTCCAAAGCAATTTTTTCTCTTAAAACAGCCTTCTTTTCCAACGCAATTTTTTCTTCTAAAGAAATTTTTTTTTCTGAAGCAGCTTTTTCTGCCAAAGCAATTTTTTCTTCTAAAGCCGCTTTTTCTGCTAAGGCAATTTTTTCTTTTAAAACAGCTTGCTCTTCTTCCATTTCTTATATTTTCTCCTCAACTTCATTATTATACATAACCACTGTCATCTCTTTAACTGATTCGATGATATTATCATCTCTTGATCCCGTACACTCTTCAAACGCTGCGATGAGACCTTGCATAGTGCAGTCAAGACCTCGATTGATGTCATTTCCGGCTTCAAATTGTTCACTGATGGATTCAGCAAATTTTGTTACCAGGTGAAGTTTTATTTAACTTGGCTTAGTATGTTTTATATATAACCTGCTAATTCCATTTAAAGATTCAATAACATCTCTTTCTCTGTCAGCTTTTAAAATGCCGCGACGTTTTATATGATCAACAAAACGGTTAGGTTAACGAAGTGCAAAGTCATTACATCATCGTGAAAAAGAGTTTTAGAAGTTGCACTCTCTGTTGCTGTTAACAGAAGCGTTACTACCGGAAACCAGCAAATTTTTGTTCTGCAGTAGAGCATCTAACACATTTTAGTACTGTCGAAATGCTGTAGCGCTTTTATGCTACTAAAATCGTGAGCGAATTGTCCACATAATTAGAGTAACAAGAAAAAAATATCTTTTCGATTATTTCAATTCAAAAATTAAAATTCAGGCTAATTCAAAACAAACATAAGGAAATCGCTTTATTTATTCTCTGTGTTTTCGAATCTTAATATTTCGAAAATAATATTTGTGCTGATCTCACCCCCCCCCCGATTTCTGAAAGATATTTATAATTTTTGTTCTGCTAAATTTTACATAACTTCAATACTATAATAGATTTTGCTGTAACTTAATTTAAAATGTGTTAATATTTTCGATGATGTGATAATATTTTCGATAAAATTCGTAATTGAACTGAATTACACTGGTTATCATAAATTAAGGAAAAATCNATATTTTCGATAAAATTCGTAATTGAACTGAATTATTTTAAATTTTCAAATGTCTGTGTGGTTCGAAGCAGGACATTTCGGTGCCGTTAACGTTTTTTCCGTTGGCATTTCTGTTTTCTCTTTTAAATAATGTAATTTTTGGTAACTCTTGGTAATTTGTTATCTTTTTAAATATAGAAATTTAAAAAGAAAAAAAAAGTACCAAGTGCACAAAATATTCCAGTGTAGTTGTAACTATTCTTATTTCCATTTTATTAATTTTTAGCTACTAACATCTAACCTCTTTTCCAACATTTTCTTGTCTTTATTTTTTTTCAAGGTGGAAATTACTTGAAAAGAATTTTCAAATTGCACCGCGCGGAGATAGCACAGCAACCCTTATTTAATTTTTTTATTTATTTATTTACAATTATGATACATTATTACATAATTACATGATTAATTGAAAACAAAAAATAATAGTTTTCATTGAATCTTAAGAAAAGATTTTAACGTCAATATGACAAAGGTTTTTTTCTCTACTCATTTAATGTTAATTTTTAGACTTTATCTGTTTGGGGGGGATGTCCCACACAGTTACGCCATTGATAGAATGGAGAAAAAAAGAAGTTAAAAATTAAACTATATTTCCTCTTTCCCGCACTTAATGATTTTTAAATATTTAATAACCATTTGAAATTCCTTATTTTCTTATTTATTATTTCTGCTGGAAATAATAAATAAATAATTTGATAAATTTAAAAAATTATATACATATATATTTTTTTATCTTTATATTTCTAATGAGCTGCACAATCGGTCTTGCCGATGAGCAGACCTACTGCGTTCTCCAGAGGTGGTATTCACTCTTTCAGAGACCACCACAATGGGTGAGATACCGTTGGTCATGTTAATTTGGACGTCTAGTTTCTGCCACACTAGATGGCAGCACCGAGACTCTATTTGGATGCTAAAGTGCACTAGGAATTTAATTTTGCCGGAAATGCCAAGAGCCAATAAGGCACTCCAGGGATCTTTTACATGCCGCATAATCATACGACATGGCCGCTGAGGATTTTCTGCATCCCGAAAATCCGGTGTCTGGACCGGGGATCGAACCCGCAGACTTGGGCTCAGAAGGCCGACGACAAAAAAAATAAATAAAATATAAATTGCATATAGGACCATTGAAACACTGTAATAAAAAGAAAGTACGTTGTTGGATCGAATATTTATTTAAAAACAGACAAATTAGTAACAGGGCTGAATCAGATAGGCGCTGAAAAGGCAACGTAACCTAAATGTCATGGATATTATGGCAAATTCTTTCATGTAAATAAGACAACTGTAAATAATATTTGTCGAATTGTGATGGCTCAGAGGATAGAACGTTCGCCTTCCAATGCGCCGAACCGGGTTCGAATTCCAGTCGATACGAATTCCGCATCCGGCTTGCACCGATCACAGTGATGACGTGAAGCATCCAGTGTTAGACGGATCATGGGTTAGAGTCCCCTTGCCGTCAGGTTAACCGTGAGAGGTTCTCGTGGACTTCCTCTCCGCGTGACGCAAATGCGGGTTAGCTCCATCAAAAAGTCCTGCACGAAGGCAAATTTCTCGCAATGCTTGATACAGGAGTTCCCTTGTCTTCTGGATTGGGTTCAAAATTACAAGGCTACGGAGTTGAACATTAGTAGTCGTAAACCCATGAAATTGGGTCGGCTGTTAAGAGACGGTTATAAAAAAATAACATTATTTAAAAAATAACATATATAACATACTAAACTTTAATCAATTCAAATCAACAATTCAATTCAAATCAGCCTCTCTAAATCAGCAGTTCCCTAAAGGTGTTCCGAGAAACCCTTGTGTTTAGTGGAAGGGTTTACAGGGGCTCCAAAAATTAGGAATTCCTTTTTTTTTCCTTTTTTAACCAGTAATAATTATTTTTAAATTCAATCAAGAATCCGTTTTTTTTTTAATATTTTGACTGTTTACATTATTAACTTATTTAAGTAAAATGCCAGTGAAAAAAAATAACAAAATTTACAAAAAAAAAACTTTTCAACAACGGTACATTGAATAAATTATGCTTTTATAAAAATATGGTACGTATTTATAAAAAATAAAAAATCCAAGAAGTATAAATTCAATAAGCAATCATCGAGCTTTTACCTTTAAAATTAAATAACTAATTTTAAGAATGAAGAAATACGTTACTATTCGAAAGAATTATAACTATTCTAAATACTTGCAGCAGTTTTTTTTTTTAAACTATAATTCTCTTATTTTATTCCGTTTCAGCATATGTATAGACAAAGAATAAATTCATAATATCAAATATTCCTTTTATTACATTAAATATTTTAAAAACAACTAGTATTTATGTTTTTTAGTAAATTTAGAACTGCCAAGGAACTTTTTATATATAGATATAATTCCGGGGTTGCGTCAAAAGTAGGTCCATCATTTAGGGTTCCATAGTTAAAAAAAAATTAAAAACTGCTTCTCTAAATATTCATTGAACTCATAGATCACATCACTCATAGACATTAAAAATCAATTTTTGATAAACAAATTTTATAATTCTATGCAAATTTTTTTTAATTCAATTAAAAAGTTTAAAAGATATAATAAAACTTGTAAAAAGTAAAATTAAGGAACCCAAACTTTTGATCACTCACTTGATTAATAAAAATTAAAATGCGTAAAAAAAGCTATGTTTTTTCAAAGCATGTTTTTTTGCCTGATTCTGTGACTTAATAATAGTTAGCATAATTTAATTAGCGTATTTAAGCTCCCTGTTAAACCATTTAGATCGGCACTTAGTTCTTGAAAATCCGATCATTAGAATGAAAGTTATTCAGGGCAATATACTTTTATTTTTCACACTGTACACAGTTTTCTGCTTTGTTTCAAAACATCTTGTTTAAAGAAGGAATTAAAGTATTATTCTTTAACTCAAATAAACCAAAATAATGAATTGAATCCCTTATCACATTAAAATATCAAAGATTGCTTGTTATCTTATGTTTATTGCTTAACTATTAATATGAATCTTAAGTCTATTAAATTTAATTAAAATTAAATATTGAGTTCACATACTTTAAAATAAATAAAATGATGTTACATAGCAACAACATTAACTTTTACTCAATTAAAACGAAACTAATCCTTTTGGACTAACGTTAGAACTAATGCAAGCTAAGTCAACAAAGTTGTTTTTATTGTATAATTTAGAGCAAAAACAATTGACAGGCAAATTCATAAAATAAAACTAGGTCATATCACATATATAAGAGAAAGAAAATTAAGACAAATTAAAATTAAGCTTAACCAGGTGTAAATTAATTATTGAAAAATACTTAATATTATTTATAGATATGTATAAATTAAGACATATTTATCGTTATTACATAGCTAAAAATATACATACCTTACGTGGCTGTAAACTTCTGTACATTTACAGAGAATTTGAAGATTGCGAGAAAAAAAAATCTACTATTTAGTGTATAAATAGAAATAATTTAAATTTGAGATCTGGCGATTTTCTAACACTGGCTAAAAATTGGAGTTTTCAGAGGAGAAAATAATTCACAAAAGGTGTGAATGAGCGTGAGCTTGATGTTAAGTATTCTCTGTTGTTCGTATTTGGATTCAACTACACTAAGGTAATTTTGAACACTTGATTCGATGTTAACATTCGATCAGTTTTTTTTATTATTCGGCACCTAATTCGGAGGATCATTACACCACTATTTTTATGATGTACATACGCATGGCTCATATGATACCTAAAAATAAGTGAAGCCAATTTTATCGTAGCACTTTTTAACAATAAATTAGTTATCGAATTAACATCTCAAAATCCAATGCTTTGCATCAGCGTTTAAGCTCTTGGAGAAATTAAACTATTGTTTAAATGGCATTCGTCTCAATTTTGCTTCTTCTTTTTACATTCTGTTAAGCACCGTACATATTTGTTTTATTATGCAAGGTTTCGTTTGCGATTCCAACGTCTGTGCTTAATACAATTAAATTAAAATGCTCAGATGAAAAGGGAACATTTTTTTTTCTTTTTAAGGAAGCTATTTTTAGAAGCGAAATTATGTAATAATAATTAAATGGGTACTTTTTCTTATTTGA